GAGCCCTGCTCCTCACTGGACATTAAGGGAGTGGACAGCACCCAAACTCTTAAGAAGACGTGGCCATGGATTTTTCACACAAGTTTTTTGCCACCCAACTAACCTACATGTCTACAGCAAACACCATGAGCTTCGGCAGGAAAAAAAAAAAAAAGGGAGGCACTGGCAAAACCGTGACTTAAACATAGAATTACTGGTATGTGGACTGTCTTGCCTCAGACCCCCATGGCCCTGAATCCCCCCAAACCCAACCAGATGAGGTAGAGGACTCAGAGTGTGAGTTTCTGGTGATTTCTGGTTGCTTGGCTCTCCTTAAGGAACTGTGAGGTGCAGAAGAGAAAGCCCAGCATCGTAGGAAGGCATGGCAGCTCCTCTGGGCATCACTCACCATTGGAACTGATGGTCCCATCCTCATATCTCTTGACTAGCACCAAGTCCACAAAATCTCTGGGAGAAATGAGCTTCATGGCAGCTGAGGGGGTGGAGGTTCTGCTTACACACAGGGTCTGCCAAACCAAAGAAGCATGTAGCTGTGACTGCTGGCCGGACATCTTCTCCCAACTCCCACTCCATCCCTCAAGGTCTGGGAGAGGTACCAGGACTGACAGTAGGGTGGCACTATAAACAGTAAGATCCAGAGCAAATCTTCCCAGGAACCGGGTGTCATGGAAATACACCCAGTTTGTAAGATGAGGGCTGTGACACAGGCTGCCCACAGCTATCTAGCTGCAGACCAGTGCCATGCTGAAGTCATATCTCACAAGTGACCATAAGAGGTATCATTTATTGAGCACCTAGTAAGAGCCTGGCTGGACAAAGCTCTCAGTTGTCCCTTACCTTTAGAAACAGGTATCATTAATCCCTACTACAGGTGAGGAAACTGACACTTGGAGAGACTAAGGAATTCAGCACGAAGCTCATGGTAGAGATGGGATTTGAACAGGACCAGAGCTAGGGAGAGGGAAGAAAGGCCACTCTCTTTTAGGGCTGACCCTGCACTTGCTCAGCCTCCTATGTTGTGCCTGGGGCAACTCTTTGGTTTACCCTAGTCCCAGCCCCAGGAGGGAATACCTTGAACCTCACTCAATCTCAGCATATCCCAGTAGTCCACACTCCCATTTTATAAACCAAGGATGCTGGGCTTTCTCCCATTCATCCCATCCCGCAAGAGAGCGGGGCCCAGGCTCTCTCGGGGTCACAATGGAGAACTACAGGCCAGGTCTGCGATGGAACAGTCCTGGGGAGAAGTCTCAGGGGAGGTGAGTGGGGCTGGTAAAGGTCTCCATCTCTTTGTCTTTCCCCTCAGGTATTAAGACTTGGGGCACCACGTGTTGCTGAGAAACTTTTCAGCAAGGACACTTTTGGCCTCAGGAAATTAATCTTCAAATGGGCATGAGATGCCTGGGGGCACTTGAGCACTTTGCAATGGGTGCAATGAGGATGAATTTCCAGATGACTCTACTCCATGTTTCCTTCATCCCTTAACGACCTGCCTGGGAACAGGCTGCACCTGCACACAGGGTCTCCTTTCCCATTTGAAGAAAAGCACAGCATATGCCCATTCATCTAGAATCATCCTATCATGAATTGTCCCAGTGTGTAAAATCCTCCAGGGTGGCAAAGGGACAATTAGGAGTGCTGGCTGCAATACGTAATCAAGGCAGTATACACTGGTGTTAGAATTTCATGTTTTTCCCTTTCTTAAACACATTCCAAAACTTGGTGTTAAAAACAAGGCAATTTTGTCATTTCTAAATTCTGGTATTCTGTAACAGTAATGGCAGAAGTGATGAAAAATTTGAAAAAAAAATTATACTGCTTCCACCTCTGATGATTGCCCCCAGGTGCATCATTCCTGAGGTATAGTGTCTGGAAACCAAGATGAGGAGAACTTTGGAAAGAAATTTTGAAGACAGCAGCAGCGCATGTCATAAATGCGACAAACTCATGGCATGGCCCTGTATCCTATCCATCCATCCACCTATCTATCCATCATCTATTTTAGAATTAGGATATTTGAGAGTTGCCAAAAGCGTGCTGAAAAATGCCAGTCTGCAAGGAAAAGCCCTTTCTCCATATTTTCATTGTTTCACTAAATGATAAAGAGCTACCACTTGGTAATTCTCCACTTTTTTGTAAACCTGAGCTCACCAGTAGCCTGTGCTTCCCCTCTACTTTGCAGTTGTCTATTGAAAAGTTTGTATCTTTTCATGGACTTATGAGTTAATTAGAAAAAAGAGCTCCCATTCATCTCAGCTAAAGATGCAAAATGTTTTACTTGTCACATTTAATATTTCTTTATCAGAATTTATAATATAATCATGTTATTTTAATGAATTACACTCGTACCTCAATCCAATTTAAAAAAAAAAACCATTAGTCTTGGCCAGGTGTGGTGGCTCACATCTGTAATCCCAGCACTTTGGGGGGCTGAGAAGGGGGTATCATGAGGTCAAGAGATCAAGACCATCCTGGCTAACATGGTGAAACCCCGTCTCTACCAAAAATACAAAAATTAGCTGGGCATGGTGGCGTGCCCCTGTAGTCCCAGCTACTCGGGAGGATGAGGCAGAATTGCTTGAACCCGGGAGGCGGAGGCTGCAGTGAGCCCACATCGTACCACTGCACTCCAGCTTGGCGACAGATTGAGACTCTGTCTCAAAAAAAAAAAAAAAAAAATTAGTCTCATGATTACAGGAAATATATGATTAAAAAAATTTCCATTTCTATGCATATTTATGATGCAAGATGATGACTTCCAAGAACAACCATGTATTAAATTAGGATAAAATTCAGAGGGCTACGTGGAATGGAAATTTGAGTTCTAGGAAAACAGTTACATACAATTTCTGACTATTTAATAAACTTTGTTTATGTATTTTAAATAAAAATTTATATATTATTTAGATACATCTAAAAGAATGTCACTGCTTTGTTCAAAACTGATATTTACATGTCAAAAATGACACTTTGCAACTTATAAAAATTTAGTTGTCAACTAAATGTTATTAATAGATGTCAACTGGATGTGTGAGGATGATGCTTAATTTCCCAAAAATCCGTTGGAAGCATGTAAGCAAAAAGCATGAAGACCCTCATACCAGAGGGTAACTGGGGTCATGCAGCTACATGGGGCTGCTACTGGCCCAGGCTTCAGGGAAGTGGGTGCCAGGGGCTGAGGGTCCTGTGTTGCCTAGTGCAGCAGCCCCACACAAGGAACAAGTATGCTACCCCCAGAGACTCTGTTTGGGGCTTCTCTGCCTATCTGCATCATGACGTTTCCCACCAGGAAACTGGGCTGAGGCTGGCCTCCAATGCTGCAAGCAGTGGGCAGCCTGTGTTTGCAGGACATATTCCCCTGACAAAAGGTATCACGGACCCCTTCCAGAAGAAATGGGAGGGAGTTACTATAGCAGGGCCCAGACACTATCTAGAGATAACATGCTTGGGAAGATTTACATCAGTGATGCTTTGGATAATTTCAAAACCGGTCACATTCTCATCCCACTTCACTCGTAGGCCTCCAACGGCTGGCTTCACACAGTCCCACACCTCCTCTGGTGTCCCATATACGATGCCTTCTCCTCGGTACCTGGAGCATAAAAAGGAATTTGAGCCCAATGCATCAATCAAATTTGTTTATCTTGTGATTGTATCTAAGGACTAGAAGGTGAACCATGCCATGTCTGTCACTACTCTTTTAGGACAGGCTTGCAGAGAAGGGGCTGAAACTTACTAGCCCCACCTCCCTTCAGGCCTGCAGAAATGGACAGTGAGCTTTCACAAGAATACAGTTTGCTGAAAATGATTTCATTAAAAACAGTAAGGCTTTTCTGGAGGACAATTGATTACGGGTTGTAGGGTTGATCTGAATATTTTAAAAGGCAAACCCATAAAGATACCAGGAAGGGTGCGGCACCTCTGGTAAGCTTTGAACGAGGCATGCACTTACAGGTTCCCTGGAAACTCCACAGATGGCCTCCAGGAAACTGAAACTCCATTCTGTCAAAAGGCACAGAACCATAGAATTTTAGAGCTAGGTGGTCTCTGGTCACCTGGCTTAATTCCCTGTTTTACAGAAGAGGGGTCAGAGGCCTCAAGAGATACGACTCTCCAAGGCTGTGCAACCCATACGTGGAAAAGCTGGGACTAGTCTTGGGCAAAGCTGTCCCCACAGCAGAATGTGATGAAGAAAAGATCTCAACTGGCTGACTCCAAGAGCCGTGGGTGGTTTTCAAATTATCTAAAAGCCACCATGCATTCTGTTTCCTTGAGCAACCCAGGGCTACTTGTTAAAAGTCAGAAGTGTCAAGCAAAACTACCCCCATGCTACCCTCTGGCAACGACAAAGAGAGGGGTTCACGCTGTAGTGAACAGAGTAAAGGCTTTAGACTAGGCTGGTGTTAGGGTTCCAGTCCTAAACAGCATTCAACAGCCAGGTGACCTTGGGTAAGTCACTGAGTGAAAGGAACAGATACCACCTTAAGTCATTGTAAGCATAACAGGCCCAATCTTTTTTTAAAACAATCCCCATTGGAATCCCTCTCAATCGGGTCCAGGGGATTGGGGTGCAGAAAACAACGGGGAGAGGAGTGGCTTGGGGGCTTCTGGGGACCCGGGCTCCACGAAGCGGTCTCCGGGACCCCTTCCCGCCCAGCTCCTCACTCACGCCTTCCCGGCAAATCTTCCAGCCTGCTGTGTCCCGCCGGTACCGGAGCACCTTCTCGGCCACAGCCTCGCTCATCTGGGCTGCCAGCGTCGGGTCCATTGCGCCGGGAACTGCGCTTGGCCGCTGGGTTGCTGGTGTTTTGAGCGGCGGCGCTGGATCCGGAGTGCCTGAAAGCTGGAGTTCTGGGAGGAGCTCGTAGCCCCGCCTCTTTCCCCGCCCCCGCTCCCGAATTGGTGCAGGCCCTCAGACGGATCCCGCCTCCCTAAGATTGGCAGCACCACAGACTGCGGGGCCAGGCTCTCCAGTTAGCGTCAGCGCCTGGGCGGGTCCCGGAAGCCTCGGGCGTGCCTGGTAAGGTCCTGCCGTATCCGCCTCCTTCTTGTCCAGTTGTGGGAGGGGCTCTGGAGCCCCGGGACTCTAAGATGGCCAATGACGGAGACCCGTTGGGCCAGGCCAGGTCGCAGACAATGTCGACTGTTTGTTTAAGAAGCGTGGACTCTTGTCCTGAGTGTACCGAAGCTTTCAGCCTGCGGGACGGTGGTGCGATTTGCATTAGAGGTGCAGGGTGGGAGAGGAAATGCGCGTGGAGACTGGGCGCGTGCAATGGTGGGAGAGGTGTGGGGCAGGGGTGCGGGGAGTGGCGGTGAAGAGAAGAGGACCCATCGTAGAGTATTTAGGAGATGGAAGGTGAAGGTCTCTGCCCCCGATTGTGGATGTTCAGAAGGAGAAAGCATCATGACTCCCAGCCTTGGCCACCTGGCAGCTTACCTGAGATGGAGAAGAGATAGGCCGATTTCAGTTCTGGGCATATTTAGTTGGAGGTGCCTGAGGGGCCTCTAGTACAGGTGACCAGGAGTCAATGCAATGCGCTGACATCTGCGAGAGGCCCGGCTTTATTAGAGATATGGGAGTTCTCTGCTTCCAGCTTCCCTGGAGCTGCGGAGAGTGAGCTAGGGTCGCGTCTTCCCAGTGTGAATAGCAAGGACAGCCTCGGTTTCCCCTTTTCCCCTCTTCTGCGCTATCACCAACTAAATATTTGAAAAGGTCAATATTGAGGTCTGTTTCTTATCTTTCTTTTTTGTATACTTATTGTTTCCTTTAAACTTTGGATATAAATGTTTGGAAGAGTAGTGTAAACAAAATGACAACTTGAAAGACCTTTTTGGAAGATATGAAGGGCAGCCAGGCTGTGAAGAAGGCCTGGATGGGGAATTAGGGAGCTCAAGATCTAGACCCAGTTTCGCTCATTATTCTTTGAGCTTCAGTTCGCTCCAAGGTGAAATGGGACACATCATAAATGTTCCTAGTGGGGTCTGGTGGCTCACACCTGTAATCCCAGCACTTTGGGAGGCCGGAGCAGGAGATCACTTGAACCCAGGAGTTCGGGACCAGCCTGGGCAACATGGCGAGCCTCCGTCTCTACTAAAAATACAAAAATGATCCAGGCATGTTGACGAGGGGCTGTTATCCCATCTACTTGGGGGACTGAGGTGGGAGGATCGCTTGAACCCAGGAGGCAGAGGCTGCAGTGAACCGTGATTGCACCACTGCACTCCAGCATGGGCTACACAAAGCAAGACTCTGTCTCAAAAATTAATAAAAATAAACAAACAAACAAATGTTCCCTATGGCCTTGTGAAGAGCAAAGGAAGTAACTCATGTGAATACTCTCAGGACCCATAAAATAAAAGACTAGTAAATTAACCCCAATTAAATTTAAGCACATCAAAATTTCAAAAAAAGTTAGATAATATGAGAAAAAATCAGGACACACTTTAACACATAAGTTTTCTTATTGAACCAAGGGCTCATACAAATCATTAAGCAATTTTCAGACAACCCCATAGACAAAAAGAATGCATTAGACATGGAAAGATACTTTGTGGAAAAATTAATTGACATGACTAACAAAGCTATAAAAAGATGCAGAACCTCACTCATTGTTAGGGAATTAAAAATTAAAGCAAGGAGAGGCTTTTTTAAAACCTATTGATGGACAGACATGAAGAAGTTTGTTTATACCCTGTGTTGGTGAGGGTATGGAGAAATAGTTATACACTGTGGATGAGAGTCTAAATGTATGCAACCTCCTGGGAACAGAATAACAACATGTATTAAAATTTTACTCTACTTGTTCTTTGATCCAGTGACTCTTCCTGCACAAAGATGTATAAAATTAATCTTGCAACTGGAAGCAACCTATTTAACAGTATATTAAACAAAGTTACAGAACATCCATTTAGTGGAATATTATGTAGCCATCAAAATAACCTAGCACAGATGGTGGAAAGTGGGGGTGAAGCAGATCCCCTGCAGGACTATAATAGCACTATTTTGCTCCTAGGAAATGGGAACGTCTGGATATACAAAATATTTGGAGAAGCAAACTGTTTGTCCCCGAGGCCTGTGACAAACTGGAAGTAGGAGATTGGTGAGGTTGGGGCAGCCTTGGGGCAGGCCACTCATCTATTTTATCACTGGAGGCTGGCACGGGGCAGCGTGAGCAGATGGTTGGAATAGAGAGCTGGTTCCCAGGGGCCTGGGACAGAAATCTATTTTGTAGTCTGTCTGAGGCTGCAGTTTGGAGCTGAAGGGGATGGAGGAATGACAGCTCTGGAGATTCCGTAGATCAGAGCCCTTCCCACAAGGTCCTGAGAGGCCTCTGAGTCACCCAGTTGTCCACCAGACTTCATCAAAGTCCCAGTTGAATTTTTATTAGGTGTATATGGGGGTAGGTAGTCCAGTAGCTTCTAACTCACACCACCACCAGACAAACTATAGAGGGGATGGGCCCAAGTGTCCACATGCTCCAATCTTACAAGGCCCTGAATAGAGTGCAGTGTCTGCTTTCCACTTAGACACTGATGAAGAATTGCATGCATATTTACTAAGTTAGCTTGGGCAGATGCTATGTGAATCTACAAATGTAAGCATGTCTATGTTTATTGTTTACTCAGCAACAGCTAATCATTACTCAGCACTTACTTCTTGCTAGCCACTATCCTAAGCACTTTACCTGTATTGGGCCATTTAACTTCACAACAATACCGCAGCACCATTTTGCAATGGGAGTAGTAGGGTATCCAAGGCCATACAGCTGGGAAGTGGCAGAGCTATGGCAAATATCCGATTTCTCTTTCCAAAGGCCACGTGTTTACGCATATGCTTTACTGTCTACTACATCCTATGAGTATATGTAGTGTTAAGTGTGAAATGTGCAAAGATAAAACAACAACCTGCAAACTCTAAAAAGAAGGAAAACACACACACAGAGTAGCTGGAAAATATTACCTTAGGCTAGGGAAGTTAGTCTTTTAGAGATGTGCAGAAAACTTTGCTTTAATTTTCCTGGCACTCGTGAATTCTGAGACAAAAGGGGTGACTAAAGGAAGCATTCTGAGGTTACTAAGATATTTACTGAACTACTCTTATCGAAAGGAATTCACTCTTTAATGGATATTATAGTCTGATCTTTGAGAACTGAGAGGAGTTTGTTATGTAGGTGTTTTTAGGAGAGATTTTAATAATGCTGTGGATCATGTCCTCAATAATAGTTTGACCAAAGGCAGAAACGTACACTCCCGTGGACTGTTGCTAAAATACAAAGCAATGTTGTGAAACCACAGTTATGCAAAGGCATTTTGACAGTGTAGGTTTGTGGCTTTCTGTTCCTGCAACTTAGACAAGGGCTAGAGTTCAGGGAAGGGAAAGGGATAACTGATTATCATGTGGTGCTTTTGTCAGGAGCTTTATGAGCTCCTTTCACAGCAATGATGGTTGATGTTTACAGAAAAATGAACAAAGGTGTTGACTAGGCAATCAATTCTCAGAAGAGGAAATGCAAATGGCCAGTTGACTTAGGGAGAGATGATAACAATCAAAAGTGCAATTTAATTAAAATAAGTTGGTATAATTTTTTCATCAGATTGGCAAAAATGAGATGGTGTGACAGTATCAGGCCTTGGTGAGGCTATAAGGAAATAGCCCTCTCATGCTCTAGAGGAAGTGTGCACAGACGTCTGGACTTGTGAGGACTAATAAAGGAGCTGCTAGTGAAAATGAACATGCTCATCTCTTGTGAGCTAGGGATTTCTCTTTTTGGAGGACCGATATTCATTTCTAAGTAAACACTGGCACATGTGTGTGCCAAGAAGATACATGAAGACGGACATATAAAAGATGTTTAGTGCAACATTATTTTCAGCAGCAAAGAAGTAGAAATGATTTCAATGTCCATCAGTAAAAAAAAAATGGATCAATATTATGTAGTTTATTCACACGATGAAATACTTTGCTACAGTCATAATGAGTTTGGTCTTTTTTTTGCTAAAAATATAAATATGTGCATTAATACATGCAGTATAATACTGTTTACTTAAGATGTGCTTACACATTGTTTATGGATGCTTATACATACTCACACATACAACATATAAAACTATAAACGATTGGTCAATGGCTGTACTCCAAACTCTTCCTAGTGTGAAGGGAATGAGACTCTGTGTAGGGATTAGAGTAGGCTTTGACTGTATCTGTAATATTTTCTGTATTATTAATAGTAACAAAATGGCTAAATGGAAATAAAATTCCAATCTTGGCAGTTGTTGACCCTCACAGTAGGAATATTGGTGCTTGTCCCAGTAGACTTTGCACTATTCTATGTCTTTTAAATTTAATTAAATTAAAGACCTAACCCAACAGTAAGTGCCAGAGTGCATGTGAGCTGTGTTTTGCCTTGGAGAGTGATACTCATACTTTCAAGGCTGTTTGGCCACTCTCAGATTTTCTTAGGAATGTCTCAGGACCTGCTTGTCCTCAAGTCCTAAAGAAGCACCTCCCCACTCCCACACAGACAATGGTGCTCCCACAGGTGTCTGGAGGAAAGGCCAGCCTTTTCCACAATATGTTTTAATGTCCCAGGGAGCTCGAGGCCACAGTCCCAGACCAAGCGTCTGGAAGAGGGGACCATCATCATGAACCTCCCATGAGCATCTCTATCTCAAAAGCACATTTCCATGGCATTGTAGAACATTGAATCTTGAGCAGACTGCAACCTCTTGGATTTGTCATGTCAAGATATTTGAAAATACGTCCACTCCTTTTCCTAAATTTCAGGAGAGGTGTTAATCTGTGTGTACTTTTAAAATGGTGGTATTTACACTGGACTTTTCTTTCTGTTTAGAATTGGTGATATATCTTAGAATATAACCCTGTGATTCATTCATTAGGACAGTTCTTTCATTTATTTGTTCACCCATTCACATTCAACAGATGTTTATTATCTGTGGTTGGCCTCCAAGATTGCTGCTCCCTAGTATACATGCCCTATATAATCTTCTTCCCTTGAGTATGCTGGCACTTGTGTATATGATGATATTTTACTCCCAGATAGAGTAAAAGTGAAGTGATTTTGAAGATGTAATGAGATCTCCACTCAGTTAACTCTGAGTTAATCAAAAGAGAGTATCTGGGTGGGCCTGACCTAATCAGGTGAGCCCTTTTAAAAAGTGGGTTCAGGCTTTCCCTGGAAGGAAAGAGATTCAAAACTGAAGAAACACTCTCTTTCTGGCTTTGAAGATGCAAACAGCCATGCTGTGGAGAGGGCCTTGTGGCAGGGAGTTGCGGGCAGCCTCTAGGAGTGGAGGGCCTCAGTCCTAGGACCTCAAAGAAATGAATTCTGCCAGTAATCACCTGAGCTCGGAAAAGGACTCTGAACCTCAAATGGGATGCCAGCTGTGGCAGACACCTGGATTATAGCCTGGTGAGACCCTGAGCTCAGGATCCACCTAAGCTGGGCCTGGACTCCTGATCCATGGAAACTGAGATGCTAAGTCTGCATTCTTTTAAGCCTACTAAATTTGTTATACAGTAATAGAAAACGAATACGATATCTAAGTGTCAGTTACTGAGAATGCAGAATGAATACAACACCATTCTTGCTGCAAAGACACAATCTGGTGGAAGAGACAAATGTTTAAAAGACACAATTTAGAGTGAAGAGAGTTATCCTGGAAATTTGAATCAGGGTGTGCTCCTGGTTAACCATGGCAGATTGAACACACTGCTGCCCAAACCCTGCAGAATGCCCGTAGAGGAATCCAAGGACATCAGCCCATAAAGGTGAAGATGATGTGAAGGGGACAGGGGGTGTGGGGGGAAACAGCGCTGTTCTTCCCTCTGGACTTACTGGCTGGGTGGTGTAAACCTGGCATTTTCTGTGGCTGTGATTTCCTTCTCCATTGACTACATAGAGGAAGCCTGTTGCCAGTAGGAGAAAATGAGGTCAACAAACATCAAAATAGAGCAGAGAGGTGAAAAGAGATTCCCGAGGATGCTTTAATGCCCTGGCTCCAGTTGGGCCTAAGGCTAACTTGATTCCCACCCTTCCCAGTTAAGCAAACCAGTAAACCTTAGGGATAAATCATGGATTATTTCCAATCTAAGTGTCCTGATTTATTAATACAGATATCCTGCCCAGTTAGCACAGTAAAATAAGTTCTCAATAAATGTTATTTACTCTTGTCATTACTAAACTGATTATTCATACAAACTAAGCATTGTGATATCTTTAAGGGTGGCCACCTGATTTGGGGTGCTTATTAGAGAAGATGACTTTTGTCTGTTGAAAGACAGCATTGCAATACAAACAGTTCACTCGTATCATTCCGATATCCCAGGTGAGGCTTCAGCAGGCAGGATGAGATCTCTGGCTTGCTTATGATTTGTGGTCAACCCAAAAGGAGGCAAAGCACTGAGTTTCATTGAAATGATAGCCTGATGTGCTTCTGGATGCAAAGAGCCCCAAGGAAACAATCCACGCATGGGTGGTAGTGTTGCAGTGGGTAGTGTCAGACATGAGCAGACCGTGGGGGCTCCTGCCAACGAAATGTTGTGGGACAAAGATGGGAGACACCGAACAGAGTGAGTTCAGGGAAGTTCTTTATTAAAAGGTGATCACCTGGCTCAGTAGGACTAGTGTCCAGGAAAGTCTGAGCCCTGGACAAAGAAAGCAGCCACCTTTTAAGCAGTCAGTGGCCAGGAGCTACATGAGGCAGGAAGCGTGTTACAGAAGCGAGAACAAAGGCAGTTGATCAATCTTTTACGTTTATCTACACTACATGTTCCACATCCCTTGGAAGCCATGTTTCTGCATCAACCTTGTAATTTTGCAGCTGCACTAGGGAGGTGACGCAGGAACTCACTGAGCCTCAAGGAATGTGAAACTAGCAAGTACAGATAAGGCTTGCTGAGCACAGAAGGAAAAACAGGCAGTTAGTATTCTTCTTTAACTTACACTATTGGGGAGCTACACTACACTTAGCTTTTGAAGGAAAAAGTAAAAATTTTTGGTTGTCTTTGATTATACTTGTAAAATTCATGAATTCCTTCTTCAACACAACCCCCAGGAATGTCAGGCGACCATCAGGTGATGGTCAGGTGGCTGTTAGTTGTCTCTCTAAAATAATAATTGGTCACAGCTGGCACCAGGGAAAGACAGTCTCTCAATAGATAGAAAAAACCTGAAACTGGTGGTCAGCAGCTTCCAGATGAAATGTCAGGAGTTGGGTGAGTGGGCTCAAGGATGCGCACTAAAAGACAAAATGGAGCATTCCGGTGGTAAGGGAAGAACCTTGAGTGAGCATGTGCACAACTCCAGTAAACACACTGCGCATGCTCCCCTCCCAAGCGCTAGCAGGCCACTACTGCGCATGCGGACAGACCACCCCAAGGGAAGAAAGGGAAGAATGGGGGAGAAGTAACGCAAGACACCGGAAGCATGACAACGTGTAAAACCCCAAGTCAGAGGTCAAATGGTGCACTCGATCTCTCAAGTCGCCTGCTTGCCCCTCTAGTAAATATATTTCACGTTCTTCCATTCCTGCTTTAAAGCTTTTCAGTAAACTTTCATGCCTGCTCTAAAAGTTGCCTCAGTCTCTCCTTCTGTCTTGTGCCCCTCTGCCAAATTCTTCTGAGGAGGCAAGTATTGAGGTTGCTGCAGACACGTAATGATTCGCTGCTGGTAACATACTTTGGTACCACCTAACTCGGATACATTTGGCTAACAGTAGCTGTAGAATAGGTACCTGTAGCCCTGTCAGCCTCAGAGCCTCAGCTAGCAGCGGCTGGCCATGCCCCTCAGGTCTCTAACACACGTGTTCACCTCTTTTTCCAGAAAGGGAGATGCCATGTGCTGGCCCAGCACTCCAATAGGGGCCTGACCTCTAGGAACCGGACACTGGAGGAAGCCTAGACATTTGAACAAATCAAGTCATCCAGATCCATGGTCAGCTCCTGCCCTGACTTGGCCTTCCTCCTGCTGGGCTGGCCCACGGACCTCGGGAACCTGCCCTGGCTGTGGGTGACCTGCAGGTACTGGTCAGCACTGCTGTTCTGCTGGTCACTGCTGGATGCTGCCGACACGGAGTCAGATTCCGTGAGGGATGGCTCAAACCTGGGCTTCCCTCTGGGCTTCAGAGGGGGCTGTGGGTATTGGAAATTCCGGGATCGTGGCTTTTTGGGCACATAGGCTGGCCTCTCAAGGTGACCCTCAAAATCTTCCTTCCACAACTTGTAGTGCACCCTCCCCTGGTGCTTGGGAGCCAGGTTCTGACTTTCGGACCTCTCCCCAATATAAAAATGAGGAGCCTGACGGAGGTCTATCAGAGAGCGTGGGGGAAGAGACTGTTTGATCCAGTCTCTCCTTGGCGTCTCTTCCTCTTCTTCACTCAGCTGTGGGGAGGGAGGCTGGCAGGGGACCCAGGATGCATATTGTTGCATGTTCCTAGGGTACAGCTCCACAATGTCACCTGAAGCATCTATCTTGAAATGTCTTTCTGGCCAGACATTTAGATGTTTTTTCTTGTAAGAGTCACGTTCATTAACGACATAGTATCTGGGGGTGTGGGGCTTGGGACCCTGTGTCACCAAAGTCGAGGCCTCTGGTCCACGGTGAGGTGGGTTCATTTGCTGAAAGTCTTTTCGGAAAAGAGGTTCTGAGTGTACATCTTCGATGTGCTTTGTAAATGTCATAGGTGTGCGCGATCTGTTCCTGTGAAGGTCGCTGGTGCTTGCACACAGACCACGCAGATACCTGTAAGACAGGGGCGGTTAAGTAGCTGTGGCTTTGGTGGTCTCAGAGCCCCACACCTGAGGACTGTGAGCTGTCAGCGGTTCTCTGAGCATTTTCACTGAGGCTGGTTCCAACTGGATAGTGAGTGTTCTGTGGATTGTGAGCACAGAGACATTTGGGGGACTGGGGTAAACAGTTTTGTTTACTACTGGCATTTTCAGAACCCTAAATCAGTGATGTACACGTGAGTCTCCACGAAGAGTGCAGAGCGAGGGGTACTGTGCTAGTGTATTTCATCACAGAGCCCTCTTTGCGTCAGGAGGCACATAGTGGGACTAGTGTCTGTGAAGCACATGTTAGGAACACAGTTTCTCATCCTTTCTGCTAAGCAGCTGTCTGACTTTTCAAGCACTTCTCTGAGTTTCCACGGGTGGCTGGAGGGGAGTTGTACATATTAAACAGTTTTTCCCTGGCCAGGTACAGTGGTTCACACTTGCAATCCCAGCACTTTGGGAGGCCAAGGCAGGTGGATCACTTAAGGTCAGGAGTTTGAGACCAGCCTGGTCAAGATGGTGAAACCCGGTCTCTATTGAAAATACAAAAAATAGCCGGGTGTGGTGGTAGGTGCCTGTAATCCCAGCTACTTGGGAGGCTGAGGCAGGAGAATTGCTTGAACCTGGAAAGTGGAGGTTGCAGTGAGCCGAGATTGCTCCACTGCACTCCAACCTGGGTGACAAGAGCAAAACTGTCTCTCAAAAAAAAAAAAAAAAAAAAAGAAGTTCTTCCTGATAAAGACTTGATCTGTATGGTGGCTGTGGCTTGACCACTGGTGGCCTCCCAAGGAGTGTTTGGACCCTTTCTCCTTGTCAAGAACCCACAGAGACATGCAGACAACTCCTTATATAAGAAGACTTCAAGTTCTTTGCTAACTTAGTCATTATCTTTAAAAAAGAGAGCCCCTGTATTTTATCTATATTGCTTTCGCTGTGCTACATTCAGATCAAATGAATTTGGGCCACTGCAGGTCTATCCCCTTCATCTTTCCAGGGGTCCTACCTCCATTAAAGTAGGAAGGGATCTACTGCTTTCGTTGACCCCATGTAATGCATAAATGGTCTTGCCAATAACTTGACCAGACTAGAGCTAAAACATGGAAGATCTTGCCAATAATATGACCAGTGTGAAACTAAAAAATAAACAGTTATTTTCTTAGCCTAGACAAATGTTTATCCTAGGTTGACTAGAAGGTTTGCTTACAAGTTAAATGGCAGATAACCTAGGAGGAAGAATTTGTCCTGTTTGATAAACTTTGACACCCCCAGCCCGCCGCCATTTCTTCTCAGTACCAGCTGTCACAGTCTCCTGACCCCATGTCTTCTGGGAGAATTAGAATTTAATGGCCTTGGCCTCCTGAAGCTGCTGAGGCCTTCAGACCTCTCACTTTCCAGGTTTTCATCTGTGCTGCAGTGGAGCCTCACCTGTTAGTTTCATGCTCTAGCCTGGATTTGGAGACCCCAGGGAGAGGTGAGCTAGGAGCCCTGTCCCCTGGCCTGGGGCTCTGGGGCATGGACTGTGCGACTGTCTCTATCCTGCCACCCTTGCTGCTCCCTGAGTCAAAATGGACCACGTTGCCGTTGTTTTGGGGTGTGCCCGAGTGCGCAGAGGACAGCTGGCTGGTAAGATCACTGTTGTTTGGAAGCTTCTTGGTGCTTTCTTCCTGGGTCTGGATTCGGGCTGCAGGGAGAGGGAGGCATTGTGAGAAGACAGGTGTCGTGAGTTGCAAGAGTTTTATGACATCCAAGAGCTGGTCCACAAACAATTGAGATCACTTACAAATACACCTAACCAGTGGGCAACAAACATTCTGTAATTCAAATGATTTCATCCCTGAAAGTTGGAGCTGGGAGTGTAGGAGGAATCAAGTGAACACAGGGCTTTACAGTGCTCCATCTGATGCTCCCATGAGGCAAAGCAAGTACTTAACAGATATGGGGCTCCAGTTCCTTATCTATTCAATGGAGATAATAAAGCTTACACAACAATTACGATTCTTTGGAAACAGTTCACATGCATTCTGAAAAAAGATGTGGTCTTGAGCTGAAAAATGAACACCGGACAATGCTATTGTTATCCTGAAACAGTCTATGTGGGTTCTGGCTTTTGAAGGTGACCTGAACTAAAGTTAATTATGCTTAATGGGCAAATAAGTGATGACAATTAGAGAGGCATTTTATGGCGTGAGCCACAGCCACTTTCAGTAATCATTATCAATTGTAGGCTTCTCTCTGAAAAGCTGATGGAGCAAGCAAGCATAATCCTTAGGCCTTAGGGCTCTTGCTCAGGCATTTTTCTGGAGAGGAATAGGTCCCTTCCAATTGGTGAAGTATTGCAACAGCTGTATGAGCTAGCCCCTAGAGCCCTTCTGGGTCCCATTCTCATTCATGTACGCTGTGCCATGTTAATGGTGCCCAATAAGCCTTCTGGCTGACAGCACTCTGCTAGTGGTCCTGAGAAACAGATTCATCTCCTTCGAGCTGCCCTTGCCCACTTTCTTCCCTTCAGGCCACAGCACACTTCTACACCACATGCTTCCATTCTCCCTGCTCTGCAGGGACGGGACAGAACCTAAGGAGGCTCAGGGAAGGGACCTGAGAGGGAACATTGCAAGGAAGAGATGGGCCACGGAGAGAAAGTACACAAAAGTGAACCAAAGAGATTATTCGGGTTTTCATCCACATGAATGTGCTGATTTTCCTCTCCTACTTCAATACTTCCTTCTGGTTTTACACATGTTTTGGGATTATTCATGGGCCTGGATATGATATAAAAATTGAAGATTTAGAACAACATTTTTATCCCTAGACGTTATTTTATTGTGCCTAGTTACTTGTGAAAAACCACAGGTTATCAGGAATTTTTATTGGTAGTATACTGCAAACTACCTTAAATGGCTATATTTTTAAATGCCCACTAACTGAGACAGCAGATCTCTGCATTTAAAAAAAAAATTAGGACAGGCACAGTGGCTCACACCTGTAACCCCAGCACTTTGGGAGGCCAAGGTGGGTGGATCACGAGGTCAGGAGTTTGAGACCAGCCTGACCAACTATGGTGAAAATATAAAAATTAGCCGGGCATGATGGCATGTACCTGTAATGCCAGCTAGTCAGGAGGCTGAGGCAAGAGAATCACTTGAACCTGGAAGATGGAGGTTGCAGTGAGCCGAGATCACGCCACTGCACTCCAGCCTGGGCGACAGAGCAAGACTCTGCCTCAAAACAAAACAAACAAACAAAAGAAGCAGAAATACTTACCTTCTACCATCTGGGCAACCTTTTTCTTATCCTCTGATCTTGCCTAAAATGCAAATGATATGCATGTTTGTTTTGGCTTTAGCAGGAAGTAGTAACAAATATTATTCCTGGGGGAAGAAAAAAAGATTTACATGCCATACTTCTTACCTTGGACCATGACTGTACTACTATTGCCCCCTGTGGACAGTATGCTCTGGGCTCGGGCCTGTTATTTGAGTGAATAAATGCAGATACCTGAGAGCTGAAGTTTTATGCCTAGCCAATTTTATTTAGGGACAGATAATTAATAGACCGTGTTTAGATTCTGCCTGTAATAGTTTGCCTGAATCACAAAGAAAAAAATATAGATCAACAACACTGGAGATGTATGTTTCCACCAAAACGGCCTTTGTAACTCCAAATGAACTTCAAATTAGAAGCGAATTTGTGTTTCTTTGCATGAATTGATGTTCATGGGAGGTTTTTTTGGTTTTTGCTTTTTGTTTTTTTCCTGATAGAAGTGGAAGGAGTATTTTTGCATGGGTGAGGTCAGGGAGGCATCTAGGGCGCCAAATTTCATGAGGTACTTATTTTCAGGGCTGTGAAAGGACAGAGTCAGCATTACACTTACAGAGCCTCCTTAAATGTGGTGCTTTGGGAGCCTCACTGGCCTCATCCCAGTCCTGGGATCCCCCCTGGGGGTCTGGAGGACCCAGGGCACTAAGGGAACACCTGGGGGATGTGGAGGAAGAGAAATTGTGGAAGTTTTGGGAATGTGTGTTTCCCTGGGACTGCTCTGAGAGAGAGGGTTTGAGCCCCGCGGAGAGAAGGTAATGACAGCCGCAATGAAAGGATATGAAAGAGGTGAGGCTTTAGGGACAAACAGTGCTGCTGGGCTCAGATGCCCAAGTTGACAAGGATTGGGAAGGGGCCCTTTCTCTCCCTTGCCAATCTACCAGAGCTCGCAGAAGTGCCCGGCACACTGAGGGCTTGGTGTGGTCACAGGAGGGCACCGAAAGGCTTGAGGCAGCAGCAAGTTCCCTTGAGAAGGAAGAAAAACAGGAGCAGGCTTCTTCCTAGCAAAGGTGAGCCATCCTTGGGTAGTCTTAGAAATAACTGTTGGACATCTGGGGATTGGTGGCCTTGCACCTTAGTGGGTGGCCAAGAGTCACAGAACCTTGAAGATGTGACCTCACTTGTATTTCCATGCTGGTGGGACATCAGTCATGTGGTTGACACACATTCATAATAGCAAAGTTCATTAAATACTTGCATTTTGGATCTGCATTTTGAGCTGGTGGTTGCTGAGCTTTAGCGACCGTGCGATGCTCTGGAGATAATAGATGAGCATGCTGGGACAGAACAACACAGGACAGTGAGTGAACTGCAACTCGCTTTTCTGCTTTTCAGACCACATTCCCTGCAGATAGTTGGCAGGAATGAGAGGCTCCCAGGCCAGATGTGGGCTACCCACTGACCCTCCACTAAGGACAAAATGTATCAGCAAATTCTCAAGTCAGTGAACACTGGGAGGGGGCCGCTTTTGTTTTCTTTTCCTGGCTTTCCACAGCACCCTCATTGACCTGGAATTCTGTGCTAGTGATAGCAATAGGGAAGACCTGAAAATGGGGGAGAAGTTTTGCAGTCTATCAAGCTAAGAGTACAGGATCCACTCACTTTTATTTTTTTCCTTTAAACCAAAACAAGCCAAAGCTACTCAGCCGAGTTGTGAAATTCCTTTTTGGGATTATTTAAATTTCTGGAAAATGAGATGATGATAATAATGGCATTCAGCCCCATTCTAGTGATCACAGTAATTGACCAAATGGTGTTGATGGATCAATAACCACCTCGACAGCAATGGAGTGCTCCCTCACAGCCCCTCGCTGAGACCCAGTGGCTGTGTCTCCATGGCACACTGCCTCATGTGACTCTGGTGTATGACTCAGAGTCCCTGTTGAGATCATCAGGCTCTAAGCCTAAGTGATTTTTGAATGAACTAATAAATTTTATATAATTATTGGAAAGCAGCGTTTTCTTGTTGGCCAAACACACAGAAGTCCCTCCAAAGCTGGCAGGTGTGGTACTCACAAAAGCAGGAGTACCCCAGGCAGGATGACCACGGGGCTACTGATGTGCCCAACCACGGAGCCAAACCACACGGGAAAGTCTTTCTCAATCGTTTCTGACACAATGTCATAAATTTTCTCTTGTCCACTGTGAGAAAGAAAAACATAACTCCAGATTTTATTGCTCTTGGCAGAAAGATGCTGCAAGACATCAGAAAATGGCTGGATGCCTGGAAGCCAATTCATAACATTCCTCAAATGATTTCATACTAATTAATACGGAGGATGGAAGATGGAGTCATTAATCACATTGCATGTATGTGTGTGTTCTAATCATGTACACTAAGGTAGACTAAATATTACATACATGTGTCAAAGCTGACTTGAATGCTAGATGAAGATGCTAGAGGGTTTTGCTTGAATACAGCTGGATAATATAGAAAAAAAAATGCTGTGCACTGTGTTTTAATAAAACCATTTTGTGTTTTGACCAGGTAGAATGTCCTCTAGCACAGAGCCATGCTGGTTTTCTTTTTCACTTTAAAAGGATTATATTTTTTAACATGAGCACAGAGATGATTATACTAAAGGTAGCCTGCTATTAAGGAAAGAGAACTGGTCTTGAATGTAAAACATGTGGGTTTGCAATCTTTTTATCCTGTTTACCTGCTCTGTCAGCCGGGAGGACAATTCAGTTCAATATGATTTAATTCCCCTATAGCTGTCAGTCGCTTTGGGCAGAGCTGGGAACGAAACTTACCTGAATGGCCCACAGTTTAGAGATGGCTTGTATCGGACAATAGCAAAAATAGTTGGCAGCATGCACAGAAACAGCATGAACAGGAGCATTGACAAGTAGAAGTTGTTGGATCTGCAGATAAATCAAATGCCATGCATTAAGTTCACTCCATAGCCAGTTGCCAGGGTTGCATATGCCCAAAGAGCTGCCACAAAAACGGTTGCCCTGACTCTTTGCAAACTAAAAATCCTCCTCTCAGGGTTACCTGTGAATGGATCTGTCATAGGATCACATGCAGCTTAGAAACCTAGAAATCAGTATTCAAAGGAACTTCAAACTTCTCCCACCCAACCTGTTGATCTAATAAACATTTGCTGAGCACCTGTTCACCTCAAACCCTGGCACCCAGGAGTTCCACACAGTAAACTCAATTTATGGAAAAATCTTAGAAGCATTGCCCATCCATCTGGGTCCTTACCTAATGGTTCCCTCTGCTATTCCCAGGCTTAAACTTGTCTCTTATGTCTCGGGATGGTTTGGCTCTTTTGTTTATGATTCCTGACTCTCTCACTTGGGTGTGATTTGCACTCAACTTCTCTGCACATGGCTGCCCAGGGTATGTGTTATGTCTGATTAAGTCCTGGTTCCTGAGCCCTAAGCTAGTGTCAGGGAGTTTGGATGCCCAGGGCTCCCCTGAGGGCAGCTTAGACCTGTTTGGTGTGCAAGGCCCTGTACACAGTTCAGAAAAGAGAATGAGGGGTCAATCTAGTTACTTTCAACTAGTACTCTCTGTTGGTCTGTTTCTCTGTCTCTCTCTCATGAAAAAGACTTGACTAGAAGAGAATAGAAAATTTCAGAGAGCACAGAATGTAGTAAGAAAGTGGTAAGTTGTGAAACTTCGTTCTCTTTCTCTATCCACAGACACACATACATACATACATATAATAAATATATATACATATGTACAATATATATAAATATATCAAAACATATATCTCTGAATGTATTAACATATGTGTGCTGTCACCAGATAAAATGTAAATGCATTGTCAAGTAGGTCATGAGCAAAAAGTTTGAAAGCCACTGATACGGACACACATAACCATTATGTCAAAGTAAAATAACCGAATCAAAGTATTTAGAATGTGTTATGAATTCACCAAAATGACTAAAATTAAAACAGATAAAAGAATAAGTGTTGGCAAGGTTATAGAACAATTGGAACTCTCATATAATGCTGCTAGACATGTAAACTGGGGTGATCATTTTAGAAAACCTTTTGGTGCCATTTGCTAAAGGTGAACATACGCCTGCCCTGTGGCCCAGCAATTGCATTCCTAGGTATATATGCAACAAAGACACTTAGGATGTCCAAGACAGCATTACTCATTATGGCTAACAGCTGGAAGCAACCTACATGCCCATCAACAGGAGCCAAGGATAAAGAAATTGGGGTGTATTTCCTCACTGAGGTGAATCTCACAAACACAATGTTGAGTGGAAGCAGTTGGGCACAAAGGAGCACATACCGTGTGTGTGTGATCACGTTTGCATCAAGTAAAAGCTAGGCAAGCCTAATTATGCCATTAGAAGTTGGCAGTGATTGGAATCGCATGCAAGTAGGCATGCTCTGGGTACCATTTGTGTTTTGTTTTTTGATCTGAGTGCCTTGTGTTCAGTTTTTGAAAACTCATCAGGCTGAACATTTATGATTTGTATACTTTTTTCTAAAGGATTATTAAACTTTGGCAAAAAGTTTTAAAAGTGCCATGAGTTCAAGAGGAGTGAGGATTCATTGAAAGAGTAAGGCATTGGAAATGGCTCTTGGAGGAGATGAAATTGGAGGACAGGCAGGATTTTGACAGGAAGAGAGTTGGGGGGACTCCTTGCTAGAGGACCCCTGGGTAAGGCAGACATGGATTATATGTATACAGATATCTGCATGATCAGATCTTATTCTTACTCACCTTGAGGCTCGAAATACTTGCTGGTGGGGCACATTGCAGGTCAGCACAGCCCAGCTCCTCAGGTACATGAGCCCAATGAGTTTGAGAACGTTGAATGCTGGGAGACATGGGGAGAAGAAGGCCCCCATCCTGGAATCATGAGGAAGGTCAGTTTGCATCTCTTCTCTTCTAGCCTATCTCCCAGGACTATGGAAGCCCCATGTAGGAACATGGTTCTAAGACTTTGGGGCTTACACCCTATGCTTAAAGAACTGGAGAAGCCCCTGAAGTCCCGAGACCACAACCCTCCACCTTCTAAAGATAAGACAAGTCACTGAAGGTGGGTGTTGATCCTATTTAAAAATATTCTCTTTGCAAAGGACAACTGTTTGTCTCTCTTTTCACAGTTGAGCAAAGGAAAATCCTCTTCTGGGAAGGAGGCAAATAATGGATAACTACTGTTTGGGGCCAGCTCCTGGTTTTGTTTATCTATGATGAGGACTATGTTAATAAATTACTGACTTTCAGGTTTAATCAACATATGTTGAGCACCTAGTTTTGCTGGATATGGCATTAAGCATCCTCACATATTTCAGTTTGTTTACTCTTCTGCAATAGTGATAGAAGAGGTAAATATCCAGTTGATAGACAACAAGGGTAGATATGGGGAAACCAAAGACATGTTGCTAAGCCAGACCCTGTATCATCCAAACCTGGGAGACTTGGGGAGTGAAATAACTGAGCCCACAGGCAAGAACCAGATGATCCCAGGAAAGCTGGGACTTATGGTCACCCTGAAAAGAAATGTCAACTAGGCGACAAAACCCATGTCTTCAGACTTCAGTCTAAATCAGTTTATATTGGATATGCATTCAATCTAATACTTATGGAATTTGGGTTTAGTGGTGTGAAAATAAGCATAGACATAAGAATATGTTCATAAGTAAAATGTTTCTAACAAGAAATGTTCAGTTGTCACTATCTGTTGGATGTTAGGCAAGACACTTAGCTTCTCTGCATTTCAGTTTTCTCATCTTTAAAAAGGGGAAGGTAATGGCAGTTACCTCAAGGGTTTACTATAAGGATTAAATTAGTTACTATAGGTAGAAAAGTACTTGATATCTAGCACTGTTAAATAAGTGTCACATATTATTTATTTTTATTTATTTATTTATTTATTTTTTGAGATGGAGTTTTGCTCTGTCACCCAGGCTAGAGTGCAGTGGCATGATCTCGGCTCACTGCAAGCTCCGCCTCCCGGGTTCATGTCATTCTCCTGCCTCAGCCTCCCGAGTAGCTGGGACTACAGGTACCCGCCATCATGCCTGGCTAACTTTTTGTATTTTTCAATAGAGACAGGGTTTCAGCGTGTTAGCCAGGATGGTCTCAATCTCCTGACCTCGTGATCCACCCGCCTCAGCCTCCCAAAATGCTGGGATTACAGGTGTGAGCCACTGCGCCCGGCCAATGTCACGTATTATTTTTAATACTGTATTTGTAAAGATATTTTGCAAAATACAGCAGACTATAAGAACACAGAATTTGACAGGAGGCATATTACTTTATACCTCTCAATTGCCATGTATTTTACTGAATTATTATGAAGAGAGAGAGTGTTTTCTGGATGTATGGAACGTCCCAGGTTCTTCTTTTTTGTTTGCTTGTGTTTTAACAAATAGCACTATTTCTGGTCCAACAGGTAAAACCAGAGATGGTGGGATCATTTAAGGAGCTCTCCATTGCGGCCCACAGACACACACATATGTGTGGGTGGGATCACAGGACCCCTTCAGCTCCTCAGTGTCTTCAAGGACAGGATTGCCATGGCCTGGGAGGTGCCATGGGTGAACAGACTTCCCTACTTCCTGCCTCCCCAAGGGTGGGCCTGCAGTCTGGGGGATGGCTGTGCTCCTGGGCCCAGTGTCTAAGTGAAAATTAGGAGGAAAATGGAGGGAGAGTGGCGAGCGAGGACAGACTGGCCAAGGTCCCCCGCAGCCACTCCTGAAGTCCTCACTAAGGAGAAGCAGCCTCTCCTCCCAGCCTTACCCTAGTCCTCCCTAAGAGTGTATTCTGCTAGTTTCTGTGCAGATTTTTTTTTGGGCTGTGACCAATAGTAGCTTAAACATGGATTATTTTCTTTTTAATTTCTTCCTGCAAATTTCTTAGGAAATCATCAATAAAATTAATATACATGTGAAATAGTTCTCTTGGAAACATCCTTTCTTAATGCTTATAACTGTGTTTATTATGGCCATGCCCCATCCAGACTAAGTAAATTAAAATCTTAGCCCAGATGAGATGTAAGCAAAGGCAAGAAGAAACTTTGATACCTACCAAATCATTCCTTGGTTGTAGACTAAATGTAGCACATTCTCAGCTATTTTGAATTCTCCATATTCAGGCTACAAGAGAAAATAAACTTGTGCATTAAACAAGTTCCAAAGTTCTTTGCATGAACCCACTTATTACAGACACTTATATAGACTTCTTTGCTTTTATGAGCACTTAGAGATCAGTGCTTGTGGGGCCCTCCCAGCAAATGGTAAATGTTAAGAAGGGGTGGGGCTGGGCATTGTAACTTGTGCTGTAACCCCAGCACTTCGGGAGGCTGAGGCAGGAGTTCAAGTCAGGAGTTCAAGGCCAACCTGGGCAACATAGTGAGACCTCGTCTCTACAAAAAAATTTTAAAACTAGCTGGGCATGGTGGCACATGCCTGTAGTTCCAGCTACTTGGGAGGCTGAGGCAGGAGGATTGCTTGAGCGAGACCCTGTCTCAAAAAAGAAACAAAAAAAACAAGGAAGTAAAAGCTCAGCTTTCTGCACCTATCTCCTCTTCCCACTTGTATTCTCTTTCCATGTGTGCCCCTCAGCTATGCTGGACTGTTTCGCAGCCTCAGCATGAGAAAGGATGGATTTGGCCATATAAACTTTCCCAACAGACACAGCATTTTACTTACAAACTTGTTTTCCAGATCCCAACACCAGTAGTCACTTAAGTACCGCACGAAAAGTCCTCGGAAGAAGTCTATGAGCAGAATGCTCGCCACGGTGAAGAGCATGTCAATGATGGAGAGCTTCAGCATCTCCTGAAACACAGGGTGTCCCTGGATGCCACCATGCCCCACCCTTCCCACGGTCACTCTTCCTTCGGGGTGCTCCTAATCTCTGTTCATTGCTGTGGGCCCCAGCCAGTGGGCCCCTCCAATGGCATCCTCATTTCTCATATTTGTAAGTTGCAGTGGGCAGAGGACTGGGCTTCTGGTACATAAACGGTGCTCAATAAACATTGGGTAATTTGAATGTGAATTTTGATATCTGAGGCCAGCATCACATGAAACTAGGAAGGAATATAAGGTCTGTGGTTCTGAGCTGCTGGAGGCTCGAGGCCGGCGACTCATTTCCATGGGCTAATACCTTGGTGTTGAGGTTTTCTGTACAACATGGTTAAGGGTACAGATTTTGGAGCAAATTCCTGGGCTTAGGACTTCATTGTGCTCTTTACTATCTGTGTCCTTGGGCAAGTACTTGACCACCTGTGCCTCAGTTTCCTCATCTGTGCCTATAAGGTTAACAATAATAGGACTCTTATGAGGACCAAGCATTTGGAACAGGACCCAGCACATGGTCAATACTGTCTGAGTCTTTGCACTGATTATTTTTCTTTTCTAATTTTGAGACTTGGAAAATCATAAACCTCACTGAACTTTTCTTTCTTTTTCTATAAGATGGGGCAGGGACAGCTCAGAGAGTTGCAGGGGTTAAGTGATGAGATGGATATGACAGCACTTTGTAAGGGTAAAGAGAACCACCTGACCGACGTATGTCTCCCAGCACTGGTCTTGTGGACTCTGAGGGTAGAGGCTAGTCCTGTTCGCCTTTATGAGAGGCATGGTGTAAGCTGAAATGCTGGTCTCTTCCAAGGCCCATGTGCTGTTTCTCCTGAGCCCCATTCCAGGCCGAGATGTGGACCATTTCTCTTCTTCAGGGGCTGTCCTGGTTGCAAAGAAGGTGGTAGAATCTATCCAATGACTTGTGTTATTTTTGGTAGCCATTTCCTAGGGAGAGAGAGAGGGAGGGAAGGAGGTGAGAAAGAAAAATGGCGGTCCACATATTTGTAAATGAGAATCCATCATGGACCCCAAGGGTGTCATTGCATTGCTTGGGAGTAATCATTCATCCTCTTTCTCTTTCTAGACCACCACTTGACTAGAGTTGGCCCCAATAAGGGAACACAGTGGTGTAATGGATAGTATTTATTCATCCCTAGTAAGGGTCAGAAACTGTTTCAGGTAACACATGTTAACTCTACTTATCCTCAGAAGAGCTTTAGATAAGGATTATTACCCCATGTTCAGATAAGATTGAAACTCAGTGAGTTGAAGCCTAATGCTCAAGGTCATGCTGCTAGTAAGTGTCAGGTAAAGACCCAGGTCTGTGTAACCTAAAAGCCCCAATGCAGAAAAATGACTCTCTGTGGCTTCATCTGCCTATAAGCCTTGAAATTTGATGTTAGTGTGGTATGCCTTGGGCAAACAACCCTAAAAGAGCACCCCCTCTCTTCCTCCCTTTCCTCCACCATTCAGGATATCCTAATAGGTGGGACAGGTTGAAAGTGCACACCAGGTTGGGTGTGATGCCTCATACCTGTAATCCCAGCACTTTGGGAGACCAAGGCAGTGGAATCACTTGAGTCCAGGAGTCTGAGACCAGCCTGAGCAACATGGTGAAACCCCATCTCTATAAAAAAATTTAAAAAAAAATAGCCAAATATGGTGGCATGCAGCTCTAGTCCCAGGTACTCTGGAGGCTAAAATGGGAGTATCACTTGAGCCCAGGGAGGTTGAGGCTGCAGTGAGCAGTGCTTGTGCCACTGCACTCCAGCCTGGGCAACAAAGTGAGACCCTGTCTCAAGAAAGAAAAAAAAATAAAAAGGTGGACATCAAAGATACCCTAGGCTGGGAGCAGATACTCCTGCTGGGCTGGGATAGTAAGTCCATTCTGAACTGTTCCCCATGAAATGATTATTCTGTCCTGACTTTCTAAGTGAGTCTCATGGCCTGCTGCTCTTCCTGTGATCATTTGCAATAGCTGTTGATAGCCTTTTCCTGATGGGATTCAAAGAAATGGGATAGTATGATATAAAGAGTCAAAAATTCTGGAGTTCTCATCCCAGCACCATCACTTACCAGCCATGCACTGTAGCCTGAATTTCTTTATCTGGGAAGCAAGAATAATTTTTCTCTCCTTACCTTGAGAAGACTCCAGCAAGGTCAAGTTTTGCACATGATTATGGAGTACAAGTACAATCAGTGATGCTGTCCACGATGATGACCCTGGTGTTGGGAGGAGGTAGCAGAGAGGGCAGAGGTGGGGCAGACAACTCTCTGGAATGGACACTCACCTCAATGCTCATGCTGTTAACCTTGTCCAGGAGAGCAATGATCAGGCTGTAGAGATTTCCCAGATACAGCACAAGGACCCTGAAAGCCACAAGCCCACCTTGAGAGACAAGACCATGACACACAAGTCCACGGTTCTAGAGCCCCCATATGGTTCTGGAGACTGTCATAGATGTATTAAGGCAGTGGCTGCCACACTTGGTTTCCTTTAGAGTCACCTTGAGGGCATTTTTAAAAAGACAGAATTCCAGAATCCACCCTTAGTAGGTCTGGAAGGGGTCTGAAAATCATTTTACAGCCTTTCCAGGTGATTCTGCTATAGCCTATCCTTGGATCTGTACTTTACAAACAGTAGTGTAGCAGAAAGTGTGAGTTTAGGAAGTGGAGCCCTAACATGTGGTTTATGAGTCATGATTTCTGGTTTATGAATTGATTTCCCATGCATTATCTCACTTGATCCTCACAACAGCTCTGTAATAATCCCCACTTAAGGTACAAGTGTATGAAGTACAGAGGGAGCTAAGTCACCAGCTCAAGTTCACACAATTAAAAAGCAGCAGAATGCAATTTCAGGACCTCAGTGCTCCACTTCTGAAATGCAGACTGGGCCCCTCAGAAGCACTGAAAAGCTGTGGGTACAGCTACACCCTGTCAGCCACTGGGAGTGAATGGAATCTGCCAGCAACAGTCTGGATCAGCCAATGATCAAAGACTTGATGTCAGCTTCCCCAGTGCTGGAAGGTTTTGAAAACACATCATGGAATTTCCAGGATGCAGCCTTGGGTCTTACTGGAAACCTGTCTGGGAAAATGAAGTGAGAAAGGAAATGACAGGTTTATACACTCTTCAGTGAGACAACACTTAGCCCTTAGAGAAAAATGAAACCAATTGATGGGAGAATCATGAAACCAATTGAGAAAGTTGATGGGAAAGCATCTTTATCTTGAGGAAAAGACTCCAAGTTGAAACCATCTCCCCAGGCCTTCCACATCTCCTCAAGTATAGAGTTGACCACCCGTGTGCAGGCAGTGGGCAGAGAAACAGGAAAGTGGTGTCTCCAGGGGGTAGCATTGTAGCTCACATCGGCTCTCCCTCTGAATTGAGAAGGGATTCCCGTGGGCACAATGCACTTACAGTACTGAGTACAAGGCAAGTCCCTCAGTGTGTGTTCAGTAAGTGGTGGCCAAAGGAAGGATTGAATGCATTTCCTCTCCTGCTGTCTCAGCATTACCATCACTCTATGCCTTGGATAGAAGCTAATACAGTCTGCTGGTGAGTTAATGGAACTGAAATAATATGTCTTATGTTTATTACCAGAATTAGCCCTAATTTGTCTGGGGAAGTCTCTGATGCCTCTGTTTCTCTAGTTTTGAACATGAATAATGAGGCCAATTTGTATAATAGCATTGCCTTTAGACCAAATGCAATAATGGAATTGATTCCACCCAATACTTGCTAGTGAGGAAGGAGCTTCTCTCTTGCAGGTCAAAAGACATGTTGGATGGAGCAGAAAGAACAAGGAATAGGAGCCAGGGAGCTGAGAGGCTCATCCCAGATCTACCCTGGGCCATGAAGGTTTGACCAACTCCATGCTCTTCCTAGTCATGTTTTCTCTCTTTGAAATGACAGTTGAATTTCAGGAGTTGGAAATTACGGCTTTCAAGCCAAACCATACCCTTGCCTATTTTTGTCAGTAAAGTTGTATTGGAACACGACCACACCTGTTCATCGCCTTATGGTCTGTGGCTGCTTTCATGCTAGAACCTTAGAGTTGAGTAGTGGTGATACAGACTTACCCACAAAACCACAAATATTTACTATCTAGTTCTTTTTGGGAAATGTTTGCCAATTCCTGAATGAGAGCAAATCTTCCCAAAGTGGTCTGTGGAAAATTAGTTCTATAGAATGTTATTAGGTGTTACAAAAGGAAACGGGGAGAAACCAGTGTAGACCAGGGTGAAGGTGGGAGCAGGTAAGAAGGGCTCTCACTGCCTCCCTCTGCCACATTCAGTTTAACAATGCCTCACCCAGCCCTACTACAGTAGCTGAATTTGTAGATGAAGAGACCATACTCCAGGGAGGACAGGCAGATTTTTCAGGAAAATACTGATAAAGCCAGTGCTCAAAATGAGTGTGGCTGTTCCGACTCCCACAGAAGGTGTTCCAGGACGTTCCCTTGGGTGCACCAGTCTTCCCCAACCACCTGCTGTCACAGCCACTGACCGTCCTGGCAAAGCTTCCAGGCATATCCACAAGGAACTCTTTGAGTCTATACTTTGGGGGAACCGTTCACAAAGCATTGACTGTTCTTCTTGCATCTGGAAAAACAACATGCGTCCCTCTCACCACTCAGAGTTAAACCACGGAGAAAACAGAACAGTGAGGAAAACCAAACACACTGCCAGTCCTCTTCTTGGTTCCCTTTTGTTCATTTGTTTGTTTGTTTGTTTTGGAGTTTTGCTTTTGTTGCCCAGGCTGGAGTGCAGTGGTGTGATCTCGGCTCACCGCAACCTCTGCCTTCCGGGTTCAAGCGATTCTCTTGCCTCAGCCTCCTGAGTAGCTGGGATTACAGGCATGCGCCACCACGCCCAGCTATTTTTTTTTTTTTTTTTTTTTTAGTAGAGACAGGGTTTCTCCATGTTGGTTAGGCTGGTCTTGAACTCCCGACCTCAGGTGATCCACGCACCTTGGGCTCCCAAAGTGCTGGGATTACAGGCGTGAGCCACTGCACCCAACCCTTGGTTCCCTTTTGTGTCCTCTTTTCCTGCCTGTTCTTCCTTTCTTCCTTTCCCTTCTCGTCCTCCTCCTCATCCTCTTCTTCTTCTTCATTCCTTTTCATCCATTTCTTCTACCCTTGTCATCCTGGTCCTCCTCCTCCCTTCCTCCTTCTATTCTCCTGCCTCCTCCCCTATCCCTCCTCTTGGGTTATGCTTTTCTTGAGTTGCATCCATACGTAAAGTTCTGTGCTGAGTGTCTGAGAGAAAAGAAGCAAGCCCTGGTTCTTGAGGCACTTACATTCCCACTGTGAGTGGGCACATGGGTGAACCACAGGTGGCATTTCTGGGCAGGACTGTTGTACCTTGCAAGCTGGAAGCGCAGCGTGGTCCTGGGGTGGTACATCTCTAAGGCAGCAATGAGGTCAAAGGCTGATGGTGCTATCATGGTGACGAGGGAGACCACCACACTGACCTGTTGAGAGAGCACATGCCAGAGCCAGGCATTCCCAGAACCCCTGATCAAGCCTTACCATGTGCATTTGATCTCTTTCCCTAATATTGGATCAGTGGGTATCCACAGGGTCCTTGGATCCTCCATGGAAAATCTCCCCAAATCTCTGCTAATTAGCTTTTTTCAAAAGGCGGCCACCACTTTATCATGGCCTTTTTTTTTTTTTTTTAAACTCTCCTTAAATGTTCTGAGGACACTCATACACGCCATTTGGGATTCACTAGGCCAGGTGCGGTGGCTCACACCTGTAATCCCAACACTTTGGGAGACTTGTGAGGCTGCAGGAGAATTGCTTGAGGCCAGGCATTGAAGACCAGCCTGGGCAACACAGCAGGATTCCATTTCTACCAAAAAAAAAAAAAAGAAAAAATCTGGCACATGCCTATGGTCCCAACTCATTGGGAGGCTGAAGCAGGAGAATTGCTTGAGGCTAGGCATTCAAGATTAGCCTGGGCAACACAGCAAGACCCCATCTCTACCAATAAAAAAAAGGGGGGGCAAATGCCTATGGTCCCAGCTTGTTGGGAAACTGTGGCAGAAGAATTTCTTGAGCCCAGAAGTTCGAGGCTGCTGTGAGCTGTGATTGGACCACTGCACTCCAGCCTGGGCAACAGAGTGAAACCTTGACTCAAAAAGCAAAAAGAATTCACTAACATTTCTGCCACAATTTCCCCAATTACCATCTCACAGTATTTATACTTCCCTGACCTTGGATGGAAGACGGAAATAACTGCAACTATTACCAATAGAAAAGGAAAGCCTGAGAGGTAATGTAATATTCTTTCTGTACATGGAAGATTAATTATCTAGAGAATTATGCCCGGCTTTTGTTTCTCTGTACTTACAGCAGAAGAAAGAGGAGTTTTAGCTGGTACAGATGTTTGAGATAAAATAAGAAATAATTTCTGAATATATCTTTAAAAAATTATTCATATTTCTATCTGTAAACATACAAGTACACAGTAATTCAATTGGCATAAAATAGAGGCATGGGAAAAGGTTACCTAGGGTAGAGTAGACTCAGATTTTGATAAATTACTGTACATTGATAAATATGCACATGGTAAATTGATGACCATCTTACACACCTTTCTTTTTAAATCCCAACAGGGGGTAATAATTTTCATAGAAATGATCTGAGAGGTGGTTTTTGTGCTATTTCTGCCTTTCAAATATGTACAGATAAATTGGGCCAACTTTTCAGGACAATGGTCTTAAAATGAATATTTAGAATTCCAAAATTATTCATAACCATTCACTTGGTGATTTTCTATTTATGAGAATATTCACACAACGGAGGTGGGGGGAAGATGATTGTTTAAAAAATAAACCATTTGTGTAGAGCTGGTTCTGGAAGCATTATTTGTCATTTAGATATTCAGAAACTACCTAAATATTCACAAATGGCACCTGGTGAACTTTAATCCATGCGATGGAATATGTGCAGTTGTTAATTCCAATCTGCAGGTAGAATCAATCTGTGGAACATGGATGTGAAGAAACAGATGTGCAAAAGGCAAAACACAGTCGGTGGGGCTCAAGGTAGAGAACAGTGTGAATGCTTGAAGGCGTTTTTGAATCAAACTCTTTCCCAAAGGAGATGAATAAAATTGCCCTTCTGGCTCAAAGTCCTTATAGTCCATGCTCTAGGACAAGAGGACTAAAGTTTTTTCCTAGAGGTATTCCCACCTAACCCACATAAGGAACAAAGAGGCAGGCTACTTTTCTGTCTCTCTCTCTCGTGTTTTTATTTTTGTTTTTGTTTTTTTGAGACGGTCTCACTCTGTTGCCCACACTGGAGTGCAGTGGCATGATCTTGGCTCACTGCAGCCTCTGTCGCCTGGGTTCAAGAGAGTCTCCTGCCTCAGCCTCCCAAGTAGCTGGGACTACAGGTGTGCACCACCACACTCAGCTAATTTTTGTATTTTTAGTAGAGACAGGGTTTCACCATGTTGGCCAGGCTGGGCTCGAACTCCTGACCTCAAGTGATCCACCTGCCTCCCAAAGTGCTGGGATTACAGGCATGAGCCACCGTGCCTGGCTATGTCTCTTTTCTAGGGTGCTGCGGGTAATGGCAGTTGGTACCTCATTCTTTTCCCAAAGTGTCAGCTCCTTCTTCGACTGCTCCAGCTTCTGGGACCGGTCCACCACAAAGTAGATGAGATAAATGCTTCCAGCCAATGAGAGAAGCACCAGGATGTTGGCAATAATCCTCAGGCAGATGGTCACTGCCCTGGGGAGAGAAGCAGGCATGAGGACAGCACACAGGGTCCTGCTCACAGCACCGCGATGCAAAGACAACACTACTTGGGGACTGGAACACATCCACTGCCAAGAGGATTCTCTGCCCTGAAGCATCAGTGCTCTTCCAGCCCACCTCACCCCATACCCTAGAATTCCTCATTTCCTAAGAGATCAACAACCAGTCATAAATTCAACCAGTCTGCATCAGTGGGACTTGAAACAAACAGACGAACAAATAAACGCCTCTGGTTTTAGAGACAGAGTTATTTGGGTTTCAGTTCTAGCTTTGCTACTTAAAATTGGAGTCTTGTGGTATGCACATTAAAGATACAGGAATTCAAGTAAATGTGTTCAGCAGAGGGAGGGAGGAAGGAAGGCAGGGAAGAAGAGAGGAAGGGAGGACACGTGATTCTGCCTGTCATCCCATATAATGAATATGACATTGTACAGTCATGTGCTGCACAATGGCAATTTGGTCAATGACGGAATGCTATACGACGGTGTTCCATAAGATTATAATGGAGCTGAAAAACTCCTACGGCCTAGGATATTGTAGCACAATGCATTGCCCTCACATGTTTGCAGTGATGCTGGTGTAAACAAGCCTACTGCACTACCAGTTGTATAAAAGTATAGTACATGCAAGTATGTACAATACATATTTGATAATGATATTAAATGGCTGTTACTGGCTTAGGTATTTACTATACTTTTTAAAATCATTATTTTAGGGTATACTTCTACTTATTTAAAACAAAATGTTAATTGTAAAACAGCCTCAGGCAGGTCCTTCAGGAGGCATCCAGGGTAAGGCACTGTTACCATAAGAGATGACACCTCCGTGCGTGTTACTGCCCCTGAAGACCTTCCAGTGGGACAAGATGTGGAGGCAGAAGGCAGTGATATTGATTATCCTGACCCTGTGCAGGCCTAGGCTAATGTGTGTGTTAGTCTTTTGTTTTTTTATTTGTTTGTTTGTTTTTTGTTTTGTTTTGTTTTGTTTTGAGACGGCATTTTGCTCTTGTTGCCCAGGCTGGAGTGCGATGGTGCAATCTCAGCTCACTGCAACCTCTGCCTCCTGGGTTCAAGCGATACAGTCTCCTGAGTAGCTGGGATTACAGGCACTTGCCACCACGCCTGGCTAATTTTTGTATTTTTAGTGGAGACGGGATTTTCCCATGTTGGTTAGGCTTGTCTCAAAACTCCTGACCTCAGGTGATCTGCCCACCTCGGCCTCCCAAAGTGCTGGGATTACAGGTGCACACCACCATGTCCGGCCTGGTCTTAGTTTTTAACAAAAAAGTGTAAAAAGTAAAAAAAAAAAATAAAAATAAAAATAAGACAAAGCTTGTAGAATAAGGATACAAAGAAAAATGTTTTTTGTACAGCTGTACCATGTGTTTGTGTTTTAAGTATTACAAAAGAGTCAGTTTTTTAAAATTTAAGAGTTCATAAACAAGTGAAAGTAAACTAAGATTAATTTACTATTAAAGAAAGAAACTTTAAGAAATAAATTTAGTGTAGCCTAAATATAGAGTGTTTATAAAGTCTACGCTAGTATGCAATTGTGCCCTGGGCCTTCACATTCACTTATCACTCATTCACTGACTCACTCAGAGCAACTTCCAGTCCTGCAAGCTAATTCATGGTAAGTGCCCTATACAGGTGTACCATTTTTAAATCTTTTATACCACATTTTATTGTACCTTTCTATGTCTAGATATGTTTACATACACAAATACCATTGTGTTACAATTGCCTACAGTATTTAGTACAAGTGGCATGCTGTTCAGGTTTGCAGCCTAGGAGTAATTGGCTATACTATATAGCCTAGGTGTGTAGTAGGCTATACCATCTAGGTTTGTGTAAGTACCTTTTATGATGTTCACACAAGGACAACATTGTGTTAAGACACGTTTCTTGGAATGCAATCCCATCACTATGCAACATCTGACTGTATTCCTTTGGTAGTTTCTTAATTGTCTTTTCCCTTTAGAAGAAAGCTCTAAGCTTTTTAGCCTTTTTCAATGCTGTTATCTTCAGCTCTTAAAACAGGCTTAGCATATATGGATGCTTCATAAATATTTGCTAGATGAATAAGTAAATAAAGGAGCAACTAGTGGGAGACACGGGGCTCATCTCTTTCCTAATTTGGTCTCACTTCTCATATGCCTCTGATAGTGAGGGCAGATGTGTGAATCAGTAATGATTCTAGTACTTACATACATGTTTCTGGTTTTAACTGAAACACATCCATTTTTTTTTCTAACACTGGAGAACAACTCCCTGTCTGACTTCGATTGGCCTATTTTGAAGGTACCTTCTTCTGCCAACTTTGGAGCTTGTCTGAGCCTGGCTAAGGCCTGGAATCCCAGGCCTTTTTGTAGATAGTTTATGTGGAAAGTGATCCCAGAAACCAGGAGTGCAGGTCCTGGAGTGGAGCAGGAAAGAGGGGCCATCAGTACAAGGATATGCAGTGGGGCTGACAGCAGCTAGAGGCAAATGCAGGGCCTTCTGAGGGACTTATAAAATGCCTGACAGAACTGTCTGCCAAGTGCGAAATAGGAAAGCATTTATTCTATTCCCAGCGGTCCAGGGTAGCTCCATGAGCATTCACTCCCAGCATTGCACCCAGCCTCTTGGTTGCATGTGCATGTGTGTTGACTAGGATCTTGTGGATGCCCTACACAGCAGCCTCAGAAGATCCCTGGGGCACCAAACAGTGGGTACCAGCAAGGGGTACATGCATGCAACTGGTGGTAGCCTGCACAGTCCTGCCCAGTAGCAAGGGCTGGAGAAAGGTATGGCCAAGAGGATTTGAAGGGGCACCCAAGGTATACCATCTTCTCCATGAAATTTCTACCCACTGGGGACCTTGGGTGGGTCATAACACCTCCCTCTACATGTGTTTTGGCCCTTGATTTGCACAGTGAGGAAACATTCCCAAATGAGACGATAAATGTCACTTTGCTTGGTAAAAATGACAACATGGCACAGTACGTTATTATTATTACCAACTCTGGTAGAGGAGAACTACAGAGGGAGAATCAGATGGCAGAATCCCATACTTTTATTTTGTAGGTGAGGAACTTCCAGTTCATGAAGTTCAGAAGCATTTCCCAGGTCATCGACATTAATGACAAAGAGAGGACTAGAATCCATGTCTTCTGACTCCCTATGGACAGCCCTTTTCGACTCCTCTCCCACTCCCTAAGCTCCGTCATTATTCCAGAGGCTGGGTGTGTTTCCTTAATTCCCCATGTCCTTTTCTACAAGTCCTCTGAAAGGGCTTTCTGCACTGTAGAAAGTAATCATGAGGGCTAAATAACCAGTAAGGATGTGGGATGAACAGATCTACCTGTCTCCATGAAGTCAGGGGCATTGCCCTTCCCTGGGAATGGCTTTCCCTTTCATTAGTTCTCTGGTTGAAGGGCTTCACCCTCACCAGCATAGCTCTCAAGATCTCGAGAAGAATCTTGAACCTAGGAAATCATCTTGAAAGGCTTGTGAACATCAACTGGATAATATTTGTGTCTTATGACTTGTTTCTAAATAAAGCTAGTCTTAACAGCATAAGTTGATGCTCAAAGTACCTCTTTTATTATCTAAGTAAAAGAGTAAGAAATAAGAAACTGGTCAATTTCAGACCCTCTCACCCTTATTACAGGATCTATGGAAGGAGGAAGTCATCCTAAATATTGCTAAGGAAAAAATCATTCAGTTCCCTCAGATCACATTATGAGAAAGGAAGAAAGAAGAGCTTCCTGACAATTATCAAAATAAGATATAGATGATCTGGTAGTTTTTGTACCAAACTAAAAACAAAACTTATCAATGAATTCAACATGGGGAGTAATAATACCTACAGGTTTTTGCTTTTCTTTTTCTCCTGTTCTTCCAGTATAGCTTCCTTTAAGAAAAATACATACAGCAATAAAAGCTTAGCATCATCATTAATTATAAATCATTAGAAATAATTTACCCAGTAATTTAGCTCATACCTTCATTGTCTAGGACTTTATTCTGAAGGATTCAATTGATGTAAATGAATTAGATATCAATGATCTAATAATCAATTGAAAAAAGATATTGACGGTTGGGAAGAGGGATTGGGAGATAGTACGGCTGTAATAATTTAAATTAAGTAATTTTTTTTCTCAAAATAGTGCACCATTTAGCTGTCTGTATAGTTCAATAGAGCTAAGTCTCTGAATATTTTTGATTGCATTATTTTCTAAGTTAGAAGTAAAAGTCTATATCCCTCACATATATGTATTCATTCATTTTCAGGTTATATACATGCAACATGGTAATAATCCATTATGTAAATTATCTGAAATATACAAACTGAAATTTTAAAAGGATAAAACGGAAAAATTTAAAAAGAAAGAAGTTTCAAAATGTTTCTCCCTCCCTTCATTGAGTCATTTGGTACATTTCCTGGAGCATGTTCACCTCACTTTGGAAACAACTGCCCTGGACAATGAACATCAATGGGAAAAGGATGGTTCTGGCTTCCAGCTGAGGACTGGTGGCTGGCTCTGACCCCGGGCTGCCCACCCCCGCAGGCTGCACAGGCCCGCTCACTCACCCTGATGCTGTTCACGATGGCAGCTGTTTTGCTCTCTGCAGCCTCTGGGTTTCCAATGAGGTAATCCCAGGCACAGAACACCCGCCAGCAGAAGGTGTAGTTTTCATTGGAAGCACTGGCAAGGCTCATGCGGGAGTTCTTAGCCATCCTGCCAAAGAGGAGCACAAACAGGTTATAGGAGTCTCAGGAATAGGGGGCTGGAGCTAGCACCCATGGAGCCTGTGTGAATTAGAATAGGCTGCTCCCCTCTGGGTGGACGCAGCTCCTCAGGTCACGGCTTGGACAGCACAGCACCGACTGGATTTCAGCCTGTGCTTGTGACCTCAGCAACAGTTTGAAACAGCGTGAAAACTGTGATGGCCCATTATTGTATGAGTTCATTTGACAAGGGGTCCCACCACTGTGGTACCCAGCAGGTCACTGCAGGTGTGTGTGCCCCAGTAGCCAGCTTTTCTCATCTCTGTGCAGCTGTGATTGTGAAATAAAAATATTTCCTTTGAATCAGTCTTCTTGGAGCTCCTTGCCATGGGAACTCTACCCCATGGGACTCCACATAACATGCTGGGTCCCTCTTTCACACATTTCTTTAGATATTTGAAGGCAGGAGTCATGAACCCTCCTTAGGTGAAACTCTCCCTACTTTTCAGAGCCTTTCTCCTTCAATAAGCTCTCCTTTCCATCCATATTTCTTGCTTCCAAGTTTGCTCTAATCTGTCTCCTACATTGTATGTCTAGTAAAGGGCCGAGTCTTCGACGTGGGTCCTGGAAGCCACCAGGAGCTAACCTGGAAAGCTTCAGGGGAACTGAAGGCCCCCAGGTCATTATGCACATCCTCAAGTATTGTTTATTTGTTTATTGTCTTTTTTACCCCAAACCGCTTCTATCTGCATTTTGCTAACATTCCACAAGTGGGTAGGGCGATGAACGGTGGTTACACAATCAAGCAGAAGCAGCAGGTGAGCCAGTGTGGGTGGGGCCAGCTTTTCCCGGGGTTTGGAGCCTCCTTGTCAGTCTGCATTTCTCTAGCTCCCACACGGAAGCTTGGAATGGTAAGCCAGAAGGGAACCTGGTGATGTTCTGAGCCAACGTGCCCATTTTACAGATGAGGCCCAGGGAAGGAAGGTGAGCTCCTGCAGGTCTCACAGTGAGGGTGGTGTAGGGCTCCTAACCCCACCAGATTGTTTCTTTTGCATTTTGCCTCCTCCAGTGATGACCTAGAGGTGCCAACTGAATCACAGCACACACAAGCCTGGCCTTTGCAAAATTTGTAGCTAGATCACAGGCAAACAAACATATAACCAAAGGAGGACGTTTTGCTTTCTGCAGCCTCTGGCCACCTAGATCATATTGCTTATGTCCCTATTGGTGCAGCTACTGCATTGTCTAAAATTACATGAACTGGTAAATCTATATGATTCTTGTATTTCCAGGCCTAATATAGGACCTAGTACAAAGCAGTAAGTGTTCAATAAGTACTTGTTAAAATGAACATGCCTCTTTTAGCTTTGGTCTTCTCATCTGTAAAATGGTTACAGCTATGTCTTAACTTTACAGGGCTATTGACAAGATTAGATGACATTACACATATCATAATGCTTGATATGTATTTTGAGAAATCAAGCAGTCATACTTTTTTAAAAGAATGATGAAGCTGTAAGCAAACACTGCCATCCCCACTAGGAAATATGCCAAGGGCAGCCGGTAGCCAGCTCTCCCGATCTTCCTCTCCCTGCCATAGTATCCGTAGAAGAGGACTGAGTACTGGAGGTAGCCCTGTAAAGAAAACACTCAGTGTCATTTCTGGTTCCCATTCCCAGGTCTCAGAACTGTGGCCCATCCACCCCTTCCCTCAAGACAAGAGTGTGGCCAAGCATCAACCTCACCCCCAGAGACCAGACGGTGTCCAGGTCTTGGGCTGATGAAACCTGCTCCTTGGGGATGGTCTTTCTGGCCGTGCTTCCAAAGGGCTGGCCTGCAATCAGCTGGTGAGAGAGGAAGGCTTGTTATGTGGTCCTCTGGGTGGGAGGGGACCAGGAGAAAATGAGAGATTGATCTCCATGTGCTTGTGAAAATGCCACACATAAGAGATCTCCAGGGGGTGGATTTCTGCTTGATTTTCATTAATGAAAAATTAATCTTGGGTGGCCAGATTTTCTTTTTGCCTGACTAGAGCTCACCTGGGTGTGCTCTCTCTCAGCTAGACATGGTTTCTACAGGTGGATTATTAAGGCCCCTGTTGGGAAATGGCCCATTTACTTTTTGAGGATAACGTTTAGTTGAAAATGGATTTTATTTCTTTAATTTATATAAATGTAAGAGGCACAAGTGTGGTTTTGTTACATGGATATATCGTGCTATATCGTCTGGGGTTTAGTGTACCCATAACCTGAATAATGTACATGGTCTGGATATTATTTCAACTTCGGACTGGCAAACTGGCTGATTGGCCAAGTCCAGCCTGTGGCCTTTTTGTATGGCCCAAGAGCTAAGAATAGTTTTGCATTTTTAAGTGGTTGGGGAAAAAAATCAAAAGAATTTATATAAAATTCAAATTTCAGTATTCATAAATCAAATTGTATTGAAACACAGCCACATCCACTGGTTGATATACTGTCTATGGGTGCTTTCATGCTACATGGCAAATTTGAGTCATTGTGACGGACACGAAATAGCCCACGAAGCCTAAAGTATTTATTCTGTGGCCCTTTACAGAAAAAGTTTGCCAAGCCCTGCTTTACTCAAACACATGTATGTTCCTCCCCACAATGACAACCAGAGGAGCCATTTTATGCGACTGCTGTAATGTCTCCTCTTTTTAACGAGTGGTACTTTTTTCTCTCCTGAAACACCTTACCTCTGGAATGACAATAAAAGCACCTGTCATAATGGTGAGCACAATATTAATTCCAAATAACCATCTCAAGAATATGAAATAGGAGGCAACGCCAGATCCAAAATGACCTAAAGACAGACAAGATAATGAGAACAGTTTAAGTAAAATCCTCATAGTGCAAGAAATCCTACAAAAAGAACACCATAACTTTTCTTACATCCACAGGAGATAGAGTAAGAATGCCATTATTGTACCAATCGGGGTGTTCCTTCCTGAGTGTTAACTTAGATCAAGATGCCCCTGAATATCTATCAGTTTTACAGGCAGGAAAAATCTCTAGTTTGCCTAAAATGCTATTCGATAGTCACTTCCCTAATGACATATTCATCTAAAATGGTCTTATCAAATTTCTAATATTTCATGTATATTAACAAGTATCGGCATCTTTTAAGAATTTGGCATATTTCTTATCTATTTTGCATCATTTTGAGAATTTCAAGGATTTTGCTAAGGGTTTTTTTGCCTTAATTTCAAGATAAAACACAATTTGCTAGATGCTCACAATAGTGGACAGTGGGTGAAGAGTACAAAGGAACTCTCTTTCCAACTTTTCTATACATCTAAACTTATTCTAAAATAAAAAGCATAGTAAAAACAAATTTATATCTATTGAGAAAATCCAGGAGCATAGAATAACTTAGATGAGGACGTAGGCAACAATTCCACAACATTCTGGAGTAGGTAGTTTCATGTCATTAAAAAAAAAAAAAAAAAACTCTTAAATTTGTATTTCAAATCTAGTTTATGTTTGTCATAATGAGTAGCAAAACACAAAACATCACAAGGACAAGAAAAATTACCTATTCTGTGATCACTAAATTAAAATCACTATTAGAATTACTTTCTATTAAACTTTTAGTGTGACCTTCCACAATTATCCTATGCAAATAGTGTTTTTGTATAAGATTGGCATTTCTCTCCAGCATACATCTTCAATTATCAATATATTACAAGCATTTTCTCTTGCCAAAAATACTATTCTATAACATAAATTTTATTGTTCCATTAAGTGAATTTTCCATAACTGATTTAAACTATTCCCCACGACTTGACATTTAGGACATTTCCAACTGTTCACCAGGGTGAATAGTTCTATAATAAATAATTTCTGTCTAAGATAAGGTTTCCTAGAAGCAGAGCTTGAGAAAGGGATTTGGCACAGGTGATTTGTTGAGGAAGCACTCTCCATAGAGAAGATGTGAAGGAGTCAGGGAAGGTCAGGGGAAAGAGCCAGGGAAGGGCACCATCTTAGCTGCAGCCTAGCTGAGTCTATCCCATCAGGAGCTCTGCAGCATGAATTGCACCACTGAGTTGGTCCCACTGGGAGCAAGGGATCAGACTTGAATCCTGCTCTGTTAATGGTCACTGCCTCTAGACTCCGGCTGGTGAGTGTGGGATTGGTGTGATAGGAGGTAGTCCTGGGGCAATTCCCTGAAGGGGAGCAGCTGAGTGACAAGCAGTTCATACTCAGCAGCAGAGGAAAGGGTAGACCAGCCAAGGAAAGGCAACCTGGGTACAGTACTAATGGCAGCGGCTGCAGCCTTGTTTGTTTAGTTTATTATGGTTTTCTCTGTTTTTGTTTTTTTTATTGTTTTGTTTTTAGGAAACGGAAGCATATTACCAAAGTATGTAACATTTTGGAGACTTTTGGTACATATTAAAACTTTTTAAAAAAGAAATACTGTCCTAATTTACATTTCTGCCAGCGTATCAAATTGTTTGATCCATTTAAATATTCAACATGTTTTTCCCAATTTGTCATCTAACTTTTAGCTTTATTTTTTATGTATGTAAATTTTATTATTTTAGGTAATTAAATATAACAGTACTTTTTCCTCCTTCACTTTTATGATTAGATATGTCTCCATTCTGCAATCATAATATCTATTGTCTATTCAAATATGTAATGGAATTTCAAGTGAAGGAATTAAACTTACTCTTTAAAACAATTGAATCAATTGTTCCAGTGATATTTATGCAGTAATTCAGACTGACTTCAATAATTATTGCATGCTAAAATTCTAAAAGTCTAAGTGTATTCCTATCTGTTCCTGAATTTTTTGCTTACTCCTTTGATTTGCCAGTCAATTCCCACACTATGCTATACTGCTTCAGCTGTTGTAGCTTTATGATATATTTTAATATCTTGATCTTACAACTTCATTTGCATTCTTCTTTATACTTTTTAAATTAATCTCTTGGATATTTTTCTTCCTATAAGTTTTATGATCATTTTGTTAAATACTTAGAAACAATACATTGAGATTTTTATTTGATTGCATCAAACTTGTAAATTAATTTTGGGAAAATTAACATTTTCCAAATATTAAATCTTTGTATGCGTTTTAACAAGACTTTTATATCCTGTGGTATAATTTTACAGTTTCCTTTACTTTGGACTTATTGTTAAATCTATTCCAGATACTGTGTGTGTCAGTGTGATCATGGACATGATTTATTTATTTATTGGCGCATGTTTTCTAAATGGGCACAATTATCTCTATGAAAATGCAGATTTTTGTATTTGTGTTTTGCAGTTCCCTGAGCTACCCTCTTATTCATTCTCATAGGTTTTCACCTGATCCTTTCGGGGTTTGCATTTTATCTGACTGAAGGAATGAACTGGGAGAGAACAGCAGAGCCACAGCGGAATGTGGAAAGGTCTACGTCAAGACTGTTCCCATCCTGGCAGGTGGTGGGGACAGGTATCTTGTCTTCTGGGTCTATTGTCCCATGTGGAGTCCGGTGACCCTGCTATAAGAGTGCCCTCAGCTGCACAGCATAAGGACCAGAACACAGCAGACTCTCCTTAGGCTGTGATTGGCCACTAGCATTGCATTCCTGCTCCACTCTCCAAGTGTAAATACTTACTCTCAATTTTCTTTATCCTCATTTCCCAGGGAATGAAGATGACCACAAAGTTACAGGCGAGACGAGCAAATTTCCGCCAGAGCTAGACAAGAGGGGTCAGGATTAGATGTCACATTCATGAAGATGGCAATGATTGTGCAGTACTAGGCACCTAAATGTAGTATACCAGACACTCCCTCTGGTAATCCCTTTAATTATGGATTATGGCTTCATAGGCCTTTAAGCTGCACTAGAACCAAAGTAGCTCCCTTCTCTGTGCTCCTAACCAGGTGAATGGACACCAGCTTTGGATAAATAATGCAAGCTGCAGCCCCATAGAATATGCACCTCAATATAGACACCACCCAGTCCGTGGTATCTGTATTGAGGTGCGTATTCTATAGGGTTGCAGTTTGCATTAGCCATCTCATTCCTGATGCGGGGTATCTCTTGCTCTTTGAGGAAAGAAAAAGTTTAACTTTGGCAATTACATCTTAAAACCACAACACACAGTAGAAATTACTTGAGGAATGATATATGAATAAATCCACTTGACCTTGCCATAAACTTAAGGGGGTTCTGAGAATGTGCCCCAGGAATCTGGATGCCTAACAAACTCCCCAGGTGATTACAAGCACATCCCTGTTTAAGGACCAAGAGTCTAGAGCCTACCCTGAAAATGAGCCCCACTCTAATGTGTGACTCGCCTCCTGCTACAGCCGCTTTCCTGGATAGAGCTGTCGGGGATAAGGTCTAAAAATTTGTCTTGTAGTTTTGGCTGGGTGCGGTGGCTCACGCCTGTAATCCTAACACTTTGGGAGGCCGAGGTGGGCAGATCATGACATCAGGAGTTCAAGACCAGCCTGGCCAATATGGTGAAACCCAGTCTCTACTAAAAATACAAAAATTAGTCGGGCGTGGTGCCATGCGCCTGTAGACCTAGCTACTCAGGAGACTGAGGCAGAAGAATCGCTTGAACCCAGGAGGCAGAGGTTGCAGTGAGCCGAGATCCTGCCACTGCACTGCAGCCTGGGTGACAGACTGAGACTGTCTCAAAAAAAGAAAGAAAGAAAAAAAAGGTGTCTTATGTTTTTAAGATGCAATTGCCAAAAGTTTAAAAAACATTTCTTAAAGGGGAATAAAACAAGACATGCCTTGACACTAGTTCTGCTTCCAACAAAGTTGGCAGGTTGTGCATTTTAACACACACACAATCTGGGTTTGTGCTGGAAGTAAATGATATCATTGCAGAAAGAGGGATTACAATTGTAATTATGACATTCTGAGCTATAAGACTGCACATGGTCCCAGTACAGACATGTATGATAATGTCATTCTGGACATGTCTGCTGAGGCCAGAATGGCTGCTTGTAAATGAAAATCTGAATTTTATCAGAAGTTTATCAGAAGTTGTTCATCTTCTGTTCATGATTTGAGAGCCAACTCAAATACAGTCACTCCCATGAACACAAAATCTCTGTAGCCAGAAAAGAAATTCTCCGATTTGTAAACTCCCCTAGCAATAATTTTTGGTCTCTCTCATAATGTTTATCATATCCTACCTTACATTACCTTAATTTTGCTCGCCTAGCTTGTCTCCTAGAGCCTAGAGAGGGAGATGGAGGCTTTCTGATCATTTATTACCCCAGTATCCAGAGGAAGGGGTGCTCCATCATCCTTTGGCAAGGGTTTGGTGTTGGAAAGCATTTGAGTCTCTGGCTCGTTTTAAATCCCTGAAGACTAAGAAGCACGGGGCGGAAAGCCAGAGACCTGAGTTCTAGCTGTAGTTTCACATCTATCTCACTATGTGTCCCTGGGGAAGTTATTTTCTTTCCTTGGGTTCCATTTCTCCATCTGTATAAGAAGTCAGATTCAATTAGTGGCATTCAGAATGCTCTTTAAAGTTGCATGAGAATTTTCATACATGTAACAGCCTAAGGTAGGGCAGCTTTTGTAGGTGGGGGTAAAAAATCTCCCCCACCACCCCACCAGTAGTGCTTGAGGAGCCAGGGTCCTCCAACTCAGGTTAGAGAGCACTGGATTGAATGGCCCAAGATGCTCATTCTGGGAATAAGAGTCTATGCAAGTTGGCCCAAAGGAACTTCTTAAAGGAAAATGTGATTGAAAAAGGTGATTTGTTGATAACATGTTCAGTAAGGCATGGGGGAAAAAGTTTCATGCTTCTCTGATGATTTATACCAAATCTCCATGGCAAAAGCCTTGAAACAGGAATAATTCAAAATTTAAGAACAAAGAAAAATCAAAACAAAGAAAACTAAACTTGGAAGAATAGATCCTAATTGTGGGTTTGGATTATTGAGCTTTGATAGCTAAGAAAAAGTTCTGTCTTTGGAAAGACTTACATGTCCACCCAGAAGATATGTAACAACATATGTGATAGTTCATGAAAAGTATATTTATTCATAGTATGTGTTAAGCACCTAGATTGTGTTGACTTATCAACATGTCAACATGAACTGTCATACATGTTGTTAGACATGTGGTACATGCATGTATCATACATACATATATATTTACACATGTATCATTATGCATGTATGTATCATACAGATCTAACAATATGTATGACAGTTCACGAAAAGTATATTTATTCGTAGTACGTATTAAGCACCTAGGTTGTGTTTTCCTGTGAATGCAGATAGTGAGCATGACATGCAAGATGTCAGCTGGTATGGAGTTTGCATTCAGGTAGAGACAAAGCAGCCACAAGCAAATCCATGCCACAGTGGGACACGGTCTATTAGGACTGGGGAAGAAGGCCCTTTCAACAATCAGGGAAGGTCTAGCTGAGGAGGTCATACTTGAGCTGAGACTTGAATGAAAAGGAAAATTAAAAGTAAATGGGAAGAGTAGCTTTATAAAAGGGGAGAACAGCCAGTACAAGCTGTGGGTTAGCATGAGCTGAGTGTTTTACAGAAGAGGATGGAGGAGAGAGGAGCAAGATAAAAGTTTGGATTACCTTACTCAATGTAAAAACTCTGCTTCTAATAATTCAGCCCATTATCAAGTTATACCTTTAATTCATACTGAGTTTACTATTGCTAAAAGTCCCAATAGCTTTTCATTGTTATATATATTATAGGTCATTTGAATTCATGTGAAATACTTTATTTCCTGTAGCATTTCAGCTTATTTAGAGAAAACAAAAGAGCTTGGTAGTTCATATGTCTACAAAAAGATAATTTATTTCATAAACTCCATCATAGTATGGCAGGAATAAGGAGTCATGTGTGATTTGGTCATAAAAACAGATTCAAATTTTAAAGAAGATTTTTGTGAAGAGTAAGAAGAAAGAATGACAAGATGTGTCCTTAGGGATTCTTTGATATTTTATAATTTTTCAAACATGTAAAATTTATGACCTGCTTTTATTTAAGCTATATTAGAATATTTTTGTTTCAGAGAATCTAAAAAGAGTATATCTGTCAGTTATTGTCTCTTAAGATAACAAACAAAAAATATAATAGTCAACATTGGTGCAGGTATTATGAGACTAATAATGGCAATATAAATCATCAAGGCTTTTAGAAAATAATCTTTAAATATTTATCAAAAGCCAAAAAATGGACCACAGTCTTTTCTATAGTGATTGCAATTCTGGCATTCACCCTAAGAAAAAATTCAAAAAGACAGAGAAATCTATATGTGCAAAGATGTTCTTCGTAGGGCTATTAATAATAATGAAAAATTAGAAGCATTTTAAATATCCACCAGCAGTCAAATAACTAATTAAATTAATATACATTTATCTGATGGAATACCACACAGTCATCAAAAACCATTAAATATAAAAACTATATAGCAACATGGAAAAAAATTATATAATGGTGCTATGTGAAAAAAGAAGCAAAATGTATATACACTACAATTACTATGGTATGAAAATAATATATTTATGCAATGACTGATGTGAAATTTCTAAAACGATATTATATTGAGGAGTAGAGGGTATAGAAGGATAAGTTATTTTTCTTTGTTTTCTACAGATTTATGAAATGACTTTATAAACAGATAATTTTAATGTATACTTTTCCTTTAAGTAACTGAATGGGAAAAATAACAAACAAAAATCTTAACATTGTATTATAAAATGAGCATTGACATATACCTGCAACTTTCTCATTGTAAGAAATACAGCTGTATACAGGGACACAGTGAATCAAACCTACGAATATGGGTGGGATTAACTCAGGAAAGGTGCTAGATCACTTTTGCTATCCTTTCTCCTGAAGAATTAGGCTTACCCAGTTTCACACAATTGGGAAGCGAAGGCATCTAGGACTAAAATTCAAGTCCTGGGAAATTCATACTTTTCAATTCTATTATCCTGATCTACAGCTGTGTTATAGACTGGCACTCGCAACCTGTGTATCATGGCAAGTGCGATGGCAAACACAACCTCCTGGCTCTGGAGACCACAGTGTTCACGTGTGTCTGTGTCTGTGTGTGTGCTTTTTTTCTTTCTTTTTTTGAGACGGAGTCTCGCTGTGTTGCCCAGGCTGGAGTGCAGTGGCACGATCTAGGCTCACTGCAAGCTCCGCCTCCCAGGTTCACGCCATTCTTCTGCCTCAGCCTGCCACCACACCCAGCTAATTTTTGTGATTTTAGTAGAGACAGGGTTTCACCGTGTTAGCCAGGATGGTCTCAATCTCCTGACCTCGTGATCCACCTCCCTTGGCCTCCCAAAGTGCTGGGATTACAGGTGTGAGCCACTGCGCCCGGCTACATGTGTGTTCTTTACCTCTGCACCTGCTGCTTGGTAGCCTCGGGTCCTGGTCAGCCTCCCTTCGAACTTTAGTACAATGTCCTTCGCTCGTCTAAGAGAAGAAAAACCTGATAGTGAACACAATTTTATCATACTTACAATTTCTGCAAAATGTGTAAAAATGCAACAGGAATAGGATAGGTTGCCATCTTGTCCTGAAAAATGATACAGCACGAGATGCCGTGAGAGAATGGAGTTACACAAATACTTCATGGTCTAATTTTTGGTAATCAGAAAATGCCTTAAAATTTTTTTCTTTAATATTTAAATGGATGCATAATCGAAAATGATGAAATTATACCAAAATTAGCTACAACTGAATTTCTTAAAGGCCTTCACTGATTCTGGTGCTTGACTGGGGATTCTGAGCTTTGGAAATCCTGGTGGCAGACACCTGCATCTCGACCTCTCCACTTAGCAACTTTCCTCTTGCAGTCAATTGTTTAAAAGTGCAAATCAGACCTGGCTTCAGAGAATCTGCCTAAGTAAAGGTTGGTGTCTGATTAATGGGAGCAAAAAAGTCATGTCTACATAGACATGAACAATCTGATTCACCCCAAACAAACTTCTAACACACTAATTGATCACTGTATTGAATTAACCTGATATCTCTGCCTAAATATTCAGTCCTGAAAATGGACTAAATTCATTGGGATAGACAGTTAAATTCACAGCTTAAATGAACAACAGGATTAGAAAATAAATGTTAGTGCCATGGACAGACTGAAGCCAAAGGCTCTTAGAGAGATGAATGTCACCGTCAAGGTAAGCTAATCATTTACCACCCCGTGTAGAGATGCTCATTATCTGATGGTTGGACGCCCTCTGCTTGATTATGTTCAGTGTTGAAGAACTTAGTTCTTCTGAATTAGCCATTTTGCTAGTTTGACAGGTTTACCTGGGAGGGTACTCTGGTCTGTGCATCACAGCAACCCCCAATAACACCCAGTGGTCTGAGTCCTTCCTTGGAAAACACAAGGTACAAGCCAATTCCTTTATCCACAGACAGGATGATCTCTCCAAAACATTACCTAACCAGAGTTCTTGGTTTTGGATCTCTCTTCCTACCATTGCAACATCTTCATCTTAATAGCCCAGCCAATGCATTGACTTCATTCTGGCCAGAACCAAAATGTAGGTCAGGAGCAAGGTTGACGTCCCATGACTACCATGTTGGGGTCATCTTAATAGAGCTGTCTGCTGCAAGTATTTAAAAAGTAAGAGTCTATCAAAGTCAAGTAACAATTCATTTTATATCTTTATTTTTTATTTTTTCTGAAAACATTTAAACATTTTATGCACACCTTTTTTGGGTCAAGCATAGTGGAATACAGAGTTGCCTAAAACAGAGTTTCAGTCAGGTGGGGTGGTTCACACCTGCAATCTCAGCACTTTGGGGGGCTGAGGTGGGAGGATTACTTGAGCCTAGGAGTTCAAGACCATCCTGGGCAACACAGTGAGATCCCATCTCTACAAAAATCTAAAAAAATTAGCTGAGTGTGGTGGCACGTGCCTGTAGTCCCAGCTACTTGGAAGGCCATGGTGGGAAGATCACTTGAGCCCAGGAGTTTGAGGCTGTGGTGAGCTGTGATCCAGCCACTGCACTCCAGCCTGGGTGAGAGTGACATCCTGTTTCAAAACAAACAACAACAAAAAACCAGAGTCTCTGCCCTGGAAGAGTTCGCTACCTAATAGGGATGACAGAGATCTTTAAAGACAATGACTGAGGGATAGTGGGTGTGACAATAGCTATAACAGAGGGGTGATCGGGTGTGGAGGTAGCAGGGAGGGGCAGCCCAAACCAAGGCCCAGTCATAGACCTATGCTGATTTCATAGGAACTGACCACTTGCTTCCCTACAGGGGAAACAAGCATGTCCTGTATCCTCTTAGACAGGTGGCTTTTGCTCCAGACTCAGGGTTAGCTTATTCTGTTTTCATCTGCATCCCGCTACGCTCCCTTGATTCCCAAGCAGACAGGGTTCGGTGCTTTTTTGCACTTTCCACAAAAGCACTGTGATAAGCCTCAGCAAGTCCAATGAGGGAAGTGTTGCTCCAGTAGTTTCTCAACGTGATGGAGAGGAGATATGTGTGGCAAGGAGATAGCGGAGGTGCTCAGAGGGCCAGCTGCACCCTGAGACCCTGGCTGCTGGCTGAACACATGGCCAGTGTCAGCCATCTTGGGGCTCTGAATGTGTCACATGGGCCAAGCAACATGGCAGAAGGCCTGGCTTATTCTTTGGTTTCTGAAGTGCCTTGACAGAAAAGTTACCATTTGTTCTGCTCTGCCCTCAAAGTTAAAGAGACTTAACCACCTATTATTCAGATAACAATTGATCATCATCATTTTGGAATGATTTAGCAAAATTCTAATAGAACCTATGTCTTTTTTTTTTTTTTTTTTGAGACAGAGTCTCACTCTGTCACCCAGGCTGGAGTGCAGTGGCACAATGTCGGCTTACTGCAACCTCTGCCTCCTGGGTTCAAGCAATTCTCCTGCCTCAGCCTCCCGAGTAGCTGGGACTACAGGTGCCCACCACCACGCCTGACTAACTTTTGTATTTTTAGTGGAGACAGGGTTTCACCATATTGGCCAGACTGGTCTCGATCTCCTGACCTTGTGATCCGCCTGTCTCAGCCTCCCAAAGTTCTGGGATTACAGGCGTGAGCCACCGCACCTGGCCAAGAACCTATATCTTTTCTTTTTAAAGAGTAATTGCTCCAGTGATTACTTTGGTGAAATTACTATGTTTCAATACAAGAAAACACTGGACTTGGAATCAGAAATTCTAGATTTAAAGCTTAATTCTAGCACTCAGAAACTGTGTAGCTTGGGTTAGTCTCTTAACATCTCTGAGTATCAACTTTGTTGTCTGAAAAATGGATATAATGCCATCCTTACTCAAAGAAATGGAAACAACAGCAGCTGATAACAGACATGAAAGGCACATGGAGGAGAATTAATTGGAACCTTCTGAGGATCAAAACTACGGATGACTTTAGCTATCTTTCACAGTCACCTGAAGAGCAGTCTGGTCAGACTGGAAGAACATCACCTGGAATGCAAATCTAAGGAAGAAATGATTTGATGGGAAAGAAATGCAAGCCTAATACATGGTTGATATGGAGGTAAAGAGATATCTGCTTGGCATCTAGAAAAGAGCAATGAAGATGAAGATAGGGCAGTAATTCTGTCTACACAGCAGGTGTCTGATGATCAGGCGTGGTGTCTGCTTTGCCAGGAAGCTCCACAGCACAGGTCACAGTAGCTCAGTGGTACAGGCCATGAAAGCTACTCCGCTAACTCCCTTTGCTGTGACCCCAGGCATCAGAATCACTATTCCTTACTCACTCTTAGTGAGTGACTGTTATATACCAGATACAATGCTAAGCACTCACAGAGTTCATTCCATGTATTCCTTCAACAAACTGCTATCAGTGGATCTCAAACTTGAATGTGCAAAAGTATCAACCTAAATGCATGTTAAAAATACAAGGACCCTCTCCCACGGTTTGATTCAGTAGGTCTGAGAGCAATCAGGGATTTTGAGTTTTTAACAACACCCGGAGAGCTTAGTGGTTGACATTTTTGGAAATGGACTGCAGGAAGTTAAGGGCTGTTCCTCACCATCGCTTCAACTTTAAAAAAGAAAAGAACTGGTATTCAGAGACATTAAGAAAATTAATGTCACGTAGCTAGAAATTGGTAAAGGTAGTATTTGAATCAGGGAATCTGTTTTTAAATCTTTAGCACTTTATTGTATAGACAGACTGTTTAATATGACTCTAAGTATCATAATAATCTGGCTTCCTATCAAGGTTTTTTTCTTTTTTCAATTATTTTTTTACTCAGAGGGTGGTAATAGCCAAGCAGCTAAAATGAGTATCTCTTTTCATATTGGCTTACTGCTCTGTCTCTAGTGAGCGAGACGAGCTGGGAGAGAATATTAAAATCTAGTGTTTAGAAAGGAGGCAGAAGGTAAAAGACTCTCCACCAACACACACACACCCAACACAGACACACAACTCTTTATACTCTCTCTTTCTCTGTGTCTCTCTGTCTTTCTCTCTGTCAAACACAAACACACATGCACACACAGAGGAACCGGCTTCTGGACCAGCTAGACCTCTCAGATACCTTTGTGACTTTGCTAAGTCAGGTCAAGAGTGACCGAGCCACCTCTCTCACATGAGTCTTTATCCTCGTTCCCATGGGCAGGGCAAAGTGGTTTATCGGAAAGCATACTTGTAATGATCAATAATGGCCATTGAGGCCCTTACCTCAATGCCCTCAGCTTCTGTCCCATAGTCCAGGGTCTGCAGCGAATGTTTGCCATGAGATCTTTCTGGAACTGTATATTCTGGAAGATTTGTTCTGGATCATTGCTGTCCCCTGTTTCATCAGCACTAAAGCTGTCATCCAAGTTGCTGAATGATCAGGGCATTAAGGAGGAAATCTGATTAGTAGAATTGTTTCCAGCAAAGATCATCTTGCCCTGGGCACAAGTTCAGGTCATCTGTATGAAATGTGTATGTGTTTGTGCATGATTGTGTGTGTTTGTGTAAAGGGAGGGACCCAAAGAGACAGATAATTTGGTAGTGTCAGTAGCCTGTTGAAACATTTATTGGATTCAATTACTTCCACTGGGTCATTAGAAGATAATGATTTCTCAGGGTGCATGACATTATCAGAAAACACAAGATGAGACAAGAGGGTACTTATGTACTCTTGGATTCCTGAGTAGCAGCAATTTGGGTAGGCAAAATAATTTCTTTTTCAGGCTCATTGAAATAATCAGCTAATTTTAGAGGCAGGACTCCTGTTCCCCAATTCTAAAGGTAACATAAAATACAATCAAAACTTCTGCCACTCAGAAACCCCTCTTCACCCTTTCAGGTCAATTCATTTTAAACCTGAGATAACCAAGACAGAACCAGAATCTTTCTACCAGCGAAAGATTAGCTAAATAAATTTACATGGGCGAGATATTTCAGGGACATAGATACTCTCAAGAGGAACAATTTTCCAACACGTAGCAACATTTACTCCCAGTTACACTTAATATGCTTTATGCTAATGCAACTTTTTGAGAGGAGTTAAGAGTATTCATCTATGACTATTAGAAATAAAAGATTTCCTTTGTCATTTTCTAATTCATATTGTTTTTACCCATTAAGAGGAGAATTTTTTCTTCAATTTCATCAAATTAAAGGGCAGCTGTACTAGACCTTTATAAATATTTAACAAATCGAATAGCACTCTCATCCACTTCTAACTAGCCTGAAGGCTTTTTCAATAAACACTTTATTTATCATGATAGACATATTATCCACTCTCTCTTGACGTTGCTGATTGAGTGAACATAGAGAAAACAGGGAAACATATCTGTGGGTTTGGCCAGCCATAAAGCCAGGTTGGGAGGCAAGCTTTCGGATTCTGACCTCCTGGTCAAGAAGCAGCCAGAAGAACCATTTCCCTCCATGCCCATTGCTGAGGTTGCCATCCTAGTTGTACCACAACCTGAAGAAGTGAGATTCTGAGTTCATTCTGAAGGACAACTGAGCAGGACAGGGACTTTTTCCCTGGCTCTGGTGACCCATGCATTCCTTCCTCACACACCTGACTCCTCTGCCCAGCTGATGAATGGGGCTAGCTCACCTGAGCAGCAGAGATTCCTGGTAGAGGTAGCACTGACTGGCATTTCTCCGGATGCCTCTATAGCGCTGGGATGCCTTTGAGGTTTTCATGGGAGTCAACAGACTGCTAACGATCAGAAGCTGGCCAGAGAGCTGGGAAGTTAGCAGGCAAGGGTCTGTTCTGAGGTTTCTGAACAGAAGCAGCGGAGTTTGCTCTGCCCGCCGGTTCTCAGGAACAAGACTGTGTGCTTGCAGCTGGTGCTCTGAGTAGGGAAGAATCCAGGAGGCCAGTCATGCATATGCAATGTTAAGGTGGCTGTAGCTGCACAGATTGGCTGGAGTCTAGACAGCCAAAGGTTTGACCTGGTGATCTACAGATCGCTTGGTGCGGCACAAATGATCACATCCGTTAACCCCTTATGCCCTGACAATCCTGGATGGTTTGCAAAACACTTTACATCTTTGACCATGGCTGCTGTTCACAAAACACTGAGGGAGTACAAAAGGCAAGGCTTAATTTCCCCAGTTTTTTACTCTCATCGAAGAGGCTTAGAGACAGTAAGGACCTTGCTTGTGTTCACAGTGGAGTTGAAGAGAGGCACAGCCATCACATTTTATTTTTTCTTATTTAGTTTTTTCTCAACATAGTTTCTATTTTGAAAAAAGTCAAACCCTGAGAAATGCTGATGGAACAATACCAGGAATATCTGTACACTCTTAACCTAGATTTACCAATTGCCACATTTTGCCACAATTGCTTTATTTCTGTTTGTATCCTTTCCCCATCACACACCATTTGAAAGTAGATTGCAGAAATAATAACACATCAACCCCAAGTACTTTCAGCATGATATTCATAATAATCAAATTAACGTCTTAACACATTTTACTTTTACCATACATGGTCACATTAATCAGCACGATAACTCTGAGACTGAGACTAAAAGAAATGAAAAGACTTCCTATAGCATTTGGTAAGAAAGGAAGACTTTGATAGAGATTAGACTCTCACCTCGATATTCTGAAAATAGGTTGCCAGCTGTAAAATGGGATGAGTAGCTCATCCTAGTCCTTCAGCAAAGGTCAGCAGCTTCTCCTCTCCTTCCCTAGCCATCAGCAGAATAGAGCCCGGTTCCTTTGTCACCTGCAGACTCTCACTGTTAGCCATGTGTTGGGATTCTCTGCCAAGAACCTCTTTCCCAAATCCAAGACTTGACCAGTTTCACAGTGTAAACCTCTATTTGCCACGTAACAAAAGAAATGGTTTGACTACAGTGAGGTTAATTGCACCTTTGTATTAACTGAATGGGAAGGTGCAGGACTGGAATAGACGTGACCCTTTCTGTGTAACATTACCTACTGCACACTCAAGACTCAATAAATGGGTGAATAAATAACTGCAGTGGACAACAGACAACAGAGCAGAAAGAAAATCCATCAGCAAGTTCAGATGTGGGGCTTCGGAGAGAAACTTCATTCATTTGTCCATTCAATCCTCTACTAATTCATTAGCAAATAATTGGAAAGCTCTTACCACACACTAAACTGGCAAATGTAAGCAAGAGCCCTAGCGCAGGGGTCCAGGGACCATCAGGCAAGTGTTCAGACCTAGGGTTGAAAGCACGGGAACGAAATGGAAGGCTGAGTGCCAGAGCTGGCCTTGGGTCAGAGATGGATCCGGAGCCTCTGGGACCAGGTCATCTGTCTGCCAATTTGCTTGAGGCCATTTGGTCTGATGCTCTATCTGGTAACATTAGATAAAATGTGTGCTTATCAAATGGAGAAATGGTTTATATGGATTACTGCTAGCCCCACTGGGATTTTTTGCATTCTTTCAGAGATCTTTACTTATCTCAATCATTCCTGAACATTTCAAAGATTTTTTTCATCCTACTTTTTCCAAAGCCCCCCTGCCTTATTTTGAAATATTTACTCAAAAATTTAAAATATTTTACATTAATCTCATTCAATTAAGTATTTTGAGCATTTTTGTTTCCTTTTGATGTTATACATACATGCATATTGCAGGGGGAGGTAAGGAAAGGTAGTAGCAAATTTTTCAGTACACAGGGATTCATTAAAACAAATTAGAGCAAAATCAATCTTTTTAAAATTTCATATTCATTCAGGTAATTCTCTCTGGCACTATAGGCGAGATAAATAAATAAATAATGAGATTCAGAAAATTAATCCGGAGATTAAGAATAGAGTTTATTCGAATACAGAACTTGAGGGTAGCCACCCGGGAACCACCAACTCCAAATAAATGGGATCAGCATTCCAAAGTGGAGAAGTTAAGGTTTTACTTATATAGGCAGAGACAGAAATTTTAGCCGGATTGCATTTTCTATATGAGACCAGTGCATATGTTTCTATATGACACCAGTGCCTGTGGTTATAGATTACTGCATTCCAAGGAAGATGACTTTATTACTCTGTGAGAAGGGGTAGTGATCTGGGTAGAGGGGTCTCATCTCTGATGCCATTTGGCCTTTCTAATTATTTACAGGGAAGAAAAGGCAGAAGTTGCAGCTGTGTGCCACATGACTCAGGCTGCAAAGTCACATTCTTCTCAAGGCTTAGAATAATTTCAAGTTCCAACAGCATTAAGTTTAAATTAATTTTAATAATTAAGTAATTTATTAGCGGGGCGCGGTGGTTCATGCCTGTAATCCCAACACTTTTGGAGGCCGAGGCAGGCAGATCACAAGGTCAGGAGATTGAGACCACTCTGGCTAACATGGTGAAACTCTGTCTATACTAAAAATACAAAAATTAGCTGGACGCAGTGGTGTGTGCCTGTAATCCCAGCTACTCAGGAGGCTGAGGCAGAAGAATCACTTGAACCAGGGAGTCAGAGGTTACAGTGAGCTGAGATCTCACCACAGCACTCCAGCCTGGCAACAGAGTGAGACTCCATCTCAAATAAATAAATAAATAAAATAAAATAAAATAAAGTAATTTATTGAACCTACATGAAGATAGGTTGAATAAAAGATATTTAACTCTATTTTTAGGATCCAAATCATAAATTAACTGAGATAACTAAATAAGAATTGCAGCTTTTGATATGAATCAATTGTCTTTGTTTTTTGCCTAATTTTAAGGAAATGTTGATTTCTAAACATTTTTATTATGAAGTTAATGCATAATCATCAAACAAAATGGAAACAATAGGAAAATTAGAAATAGCAAAAACCACCTAGAAAATATTGCTCAATGATATTAACTATTAATCTTTTCAGCTTTTTAGAAGTGCATGTTTTTCTTTATATTTATATATTTTGTGGCTGTGCTGTATATGTGTATTTCTCTTACCTTTTCCATTGATTTTATATTTAAAGCAATTTCCATGTTTTTAAAAAACTTTCTGTGGGCATATTTTACCAATAGGCTAATTAAGTAGTATATTCTGTCTAGGATGTGAAGCATTTAACACTGACCCATTTCTCAAACATCCATTTTGTTCTCCCTAGTACCTTTTTTGTTTGTTTGTTTGTTCTGTTATTTTTTTGAGACAGAGTCTCACTCTGTCACCCAAGCTGGAGTACAGTGGCACCATTTTGGCTCACTGCAAACTCCACCTCCCAGGTTCAAGCGATTCCCCTGCCTCAGCCTCCCAAGTAGCTGGGGTTACAGGTGTGCACCACCACACCACACTAAAATTTTTTTCAGTACAGACGGGTTTTCACCATGTTGGCCAGGCTGGTCTCAAACTCCTGACCTCAGGTGATCCACCCACCTCGGTCTCCCAAAGTGCTGGGATTACTGGCGTGAACCCAGCTCCCGCCCACCTTTTTTTTTTTTTTTTTTTTTGGCGATTGATATTTTCTGCTTTTTGCATCATTTCTATAGAATTAGTTTTTCAGAAGTGAAATTACTAGATCAAAAAGAATATTATTTAAGAAAATTCAATGTTGTCAAATGAATGTTGCTCCCTTTACATTTATATTGATTTAGTGTGCTTTTATTATTATTGGTAAAATGAGTTTTTAATCAAACGTTCACATTTGTCTACGGTCTGTTTACTGTTTCCTTGGTCTGGTTTTTACAAACTCCCTCTAAGCATCCCCCGGCATTCATGTGGGCAGTGTGTTCAAGGCGAGGCTGTGATTGCAGCCTCTCATTCTCCAGCAGGAGGGACTTGGATGCCCTTCCCCATTTCCTCTCCAGACTGCTGCTCCTCTGGATGCTGAAGGGCCAGGCAGAAAGAGAACATAGAGAGGATGTTGCTTTCTGAATGCAAGGAGATTAATTACTCCACATGCATTGACTTCCTCTGACAATTTGATTAAAGATTTTAGATGTGCTGGATACGTTTAAGTTAAGCCAGAATTTGTATGTAGATAAAATGACTAAAAACCCAAAAATCAAAAGGTTCCAAATAGTGTCAAAATGGGCTAAAATTATCATTTCCTAGACCCACTGCTTACAGGATCCGTGGGGTGAGAGAAAGAAGATAGTGAGGGAGATAGAGATAGCAAGTGAAGGCCTAATTGTATAACATATGAATCTCATTCGGTTCTAAAAACAAAACAAAACAACAATAAAATTGAGTTATAAATCCCAGAAGGTTTCATCAGAAGTGATCCAATGGCTTAGCTTACAGGGACAAAAACATTTATTTCCTACGTCATCAATTAAAGAGTTGTTTTCCTGCTAAGTGAATTCTATTCTGAGAAATTAATATCCCTGGCCACATCCTAAAATTTATGTGTGAGTCCAGTGTGTTCCATCAGCAAAGCCAAGGTCTCTTATCTTCGTTATCAAATTTTAGTTCTGGATTTTGCAAGACAACCTTTCCCATTTCTGGGATATATTTACACGTCTGTTATATTGTTTTAGCAACTCCAAAAGCTTTTGCTTGAAGTTTAGAAATATGTTTTGGGTTTGGAGAATATTTTTTAGGGAAGATTCTCAAGAAGAGATTGTTTTCAATTATCTGAGTAACAGCTGAATTTGTTGAAGCATGAGAACCATTTTTATTTTTATTTTTGGATTCCACATGAAATCATTAGTGGCAAATAAGTTTGAAACTGTGCAGACCTTCTGAGATTTCCCTCTGGGTCCTGTGATACTCTGTAACTCTGTTACACTTTTAGAAAGTAGTCTGAGATTCATAGATGGGTTGATGGGGGTGGGGGGTGGTGTCCTTTGCTACACGGCCCCTTGCGTTAAGTGAAGATAGACTGTCATCACTACAATAGAATCCTTTAAAAAGAGGAACGGATCATCAGATAGGTTGCAGTTGGGATACAATTATAATGCTGCCCTGTCCCATCAGCTGTTAAGCTTCCTCAAGGAATGAGATTCCTTTTCATATATGAGTATATCTAAACACATAATCTGTCCTAGGAGAAAGAAAAAATTGAAGTTTCTAAAAAACGGGGGTAAAGGAAAGCAGCTGAATTCCTTGTCAATCAACTATTTAGGAATTGGCTGAGAGTTTTCTTGAATGATTTTTAGACCGTTTGTATTTTCCCAAGTATTTGGGGAATATTAGAAAGCATAGCCAACGTCTCTCAGGAGGGATGATCTCCTCCGCTCAGCATTTCTTCACGTCCTTATAGAAATGCTATGTCTCCATCAGCAGATGGAAGCCAAACAGCATCTGGGATCAGCTGAGACAACAGAACAGAGCAGATTCCAGACAAAACAGTATTTACGATATGTTGATCTACTACAAAAATACGAAGTTTATCGTGTTTTGCTTTGTTCTTGATGTGATATTTTAAAACCCCTTCTTTTAGAAAATTATCTTCATCTTCTCCTCACATCTCTTTTCATCTTATGTTTTCATTTTAAAATAATTAATGGTCAAATAGCGATTGAGGTATACAATGTGATGATTTTATATATGTATACGTTTTGTAATGATTGCCACAATCAAATTAATTAACATGTATTTTTGACATATCTTTTCATTTCTTGTTTTGTAAGGATCTTTCAAAATCCTTTGCCTTTACGTGCAAACCAATTTAATTCCCCAAGGCAAGGTCTTTTAAAAATTAAGCTACTCCTGCCCTCTTTTTTCGCTGTTAGTACTTTGCCTTTTTTTAAAAATAATATTTTCACAGGTCTAATTGACACTGCATTTCTGCCTCTACATTTGATGATTTTTGAAGAAGGAGAGTTCTGTTGTGGCATGTGTATATCCAGAAATAGTCTTCATGCATAAATTATATTCCCGCCTTAAATCTCATCGTATATATGAATGCCATGATGATCTTTACAAATCATCTGGGATTTTATATTACTCATAATTTTGTATTACTCATAATTTTATATTGCTTGTTTAGAGATTTAAAAGCCTGATGAAGGAACAGCTGAAACCAGAGAAACAGCAGGTGAAAGTAAATTTATTTATTTTTCTTCCTTTTGCCAACATTCTGCATCACCTCTTGTTTCCAGCCTCACTTTCATTCCAGCAGCTTCTAGGGTATGGCTGTGGCTGTCTGGCTTCCCTTCTATTGATACCTCTGGCAGCCTTTGAGGGATGAGGGGGCTTGGGGGTTTCCACTGCAAACATGAGGGAGTAGGTTGAGTGCTTCTTTGTTGAGGTGAGCTTCCCTGATGGGGTTGAACCCTGTATATCAGAAAGAAGCCCAACCACCCTTTTGCTATTTCATAGTGACACATTGTATTGAATCTCCTGGAGCAGACATAAACGAATGTTGTGGCTCTGGAGTGGTAAAAGAGATTGTAAATAAACTGTCTTCATATCTCCTGGGGGTGCTTTTTACTGGGCTAACATAGCTAAGCTGGAAATGTGTTTTCCAGTATTCCATTCTCTGTGTGGTACTGGTCATAAAGAGACTTGTGTGTGTAAATCTTGGAAGGTGGAAGAGAAGGAGCTGCCATTTTGTGTGCTCTGAGGTGGATAAAGGGCACCAGATGCTGTGGCAGCTCACACAGGTCTGTCATTTGCTAGCCTTGCTTTGCGGGTGGGGCTGTATCCTGAGCCTCGTACAACTTCAGCTCCCACTGGATCTCTTCCTTCAGCTCCTCTGAGCCCTGGGCCAGATGTGTGTTCAGCTCCATGGTGAAAGCCACCAACTTTTCCAATAGGTCATCTGCATCTTTTGGGTTGGAGGTGGTAAGAAAGAGAGGTGGGCTCTATTTCATCCTTTTGAGGGGAAATGGGAAAATACCTTTTGTCCTCTATTTCCTCAATTTCACACCCAACTCTCCTTCCTAACTCCCAGTCCAGGCGACATAGAACAAATTCAGCCCAGTATCAGATACAAAACCAATACTTTACAGAGATTTCACAACCAGTCTCACCATTGTGCAGATCCTAATCCCTGTTATAAATTCTATATGTTGGTTCTGTTTCTCCAATTGAACCCTGACTGAAAAAGCTCTTCATGGCTACTCTTGCCTGCAAATTTTATCTCTTGAATTCGTAGATGGTTATACAGCTCTGCCAAGACTGTTTGACTTCCTGAACAGAAAGCGTAAATGGTAAAGTGTGGATTGTGATTCAATCATTGATGACCTACTGCAATTGGTAGTTTGGTCTGTCTGAATTGCATCTTAGAGAAGCTCATTGAAATGTCTTATATAATGACATATTTCCTTTTCTCCAGTGTTATTTAGTGTTCCCTTATTTTTATGGCCCTTGACCTTAGCCTTTTATTTAAAGCTACTGAGGGGATTAGATTACTGTTGCCGTATTTCTTGGGATTATGCTAATCCAGGTTTTCATTTTACCATGTCAATCTCTACTTACATTTTTTTTAACTCTTCCGGTTTCCTTTATAAAGTCACTATCTCTTCTTATTCTCTTAATCTGCATCTCTTATTTCGGAGACAATGATTTCATTTTATTTCACTGAGTGAGAGAAGCAAACATCTAAAATTTACATTTTGCTTTCTGTAGAAAGTTCCTTTCTAAAATCTGCATTTTTCTCCACCTCTGGCATTTTCTGCAGAATGCTGCAGAATTTCTGTGTTTGCGCCCCCATCCTGTGGGTGAGTGTTGTCTGGCTTCCCTTGCTATTCCCAAGAATGCTGTGGAACTTTACCTTTCATATGCTTACTGGTGGAGGCTGCTGCATGATTACTTTGTAGGCTGAGGGAGTGGAGAAAAGGTGAGGCTGGGAGCACTCTAAAAAGAAGAATTAGCTGTTTCTTCTGTTGACTCCTTCCTCCTTATACAGGATGACAGTTCTCTTCTTGTATTCCTTTATTTCTGGTGTGTTGTTTGTGTGTTTGTTTTTTGTTTATTTTGACACAAAGTCTTGCTCTGTTGTCCAGGCTGGAGTGCAGTGGTGCCATCCTGGCTCACTGCAACTGCCTCCTCCGGGGTTCAAGCGATTCTTCTGCCTCAGCCTCCAGAGTAGCTGGGAATACAGGTGTGCACCACAACACCCGAATAATTTTGTATTTTTAGTACAGCTGGATTTTCACCATGTTGGCCAGACTGGTCTCAAACTGGCCCTTAAATGATCTGCCCATCTCAGCCTCCCAAAGTGCTGGGATTACAGGCGTGAGCAACCGCGCCGGTCACTTCTTGTATTCCTTTGTTCAGCGTGGCCTCTTCCTCAGGTCTTCGATGTGGCTTAGTGTCCCTCTCAAGAACTTTTCCACGACAAGGACAGGATCTCACCACAGCAGAGAGAATCAGAATCAGTGAAAAACACCCATGCCTGGAGACTTCTTGTTTAGAGCGGCCACTCTTGTTTTGATTCCTCAATCTAATTCTGAACTTTTTTTCTTTATTGTGGCAAAATACACATAACACAAACTTACATGCTACAGTTTTTAAGTGTCCAGTTCAGTGGCATTAAGAACATGCACATTGTTTGGCAATCATCACCAGTATTCATATTCAGGACTTTATTCATCTTCCTAAATGGAGGCCCCCATACCCACTCAACAACAAGACCTCATTTTCCCCTGCCCCCCTAGTCCCTGACAGCTGCCATTCTTTCTGTCTCTATGAAGCTGATTACTCTAGGTACCTATGAGGGTGGAGTTATACAGTATTTGTTTTTGTGACTGGCTGATTTCACTCAGCATAATGTCTTTGAGGTCCATTCATGTTGTGGCATGTGTCAGAAATTCCTTCTTTTTTAAGGCTGAATACTATCTCACTGTAGGCATATTCCACATTTTGTTTATCATTTAAATGTTTTTAAGCTATAGCAAGAAAAGGCATGGAACAATAAACGGTCCCTATCTCTCCCACAGTCCATCTTCATGTCTAGCCCATGCACCTCTGAAATGGTAGTGTTGGTAGGGCTCTAGATACTTCCTGTTAAATGGGCTGAAAATTCTCTGTAGATGAGGGTTCTGACTAAGGGAACTTTCTTTAATCTCCTTCCATTTCACCAAGTCTCCTGGAAACTTCTTGAAACATGATATGGTTTGGCTGTGTCCCCATCCAAATCTCATCTTGAACTGTAACTCCCATAATTCCCATGTGTTGTGGGAGGGACCTTTTGGGAGATAATGGAATCCTGGGGGCAGTTTCCCCCATACTGTTCTTGTGCTAGTGAATAAGTCTCATGAGATCTGATGGTTTTATAAGGGGAAACCCCTTTCACTTGGCTCTCATTCTGTCTTGTCTGCTGCCATGTAAAATGTGCCTTTTGTCTTCCACCATGATTGTGAGACCTCCCCAGTCACATTGAACTGTCAGTCCATTAAACCTCTTTTTCTTTCTTTCTTTCTTTTTTTTTTTTGGACAGAGTTTGGCTCTTGTCGCCCAGGCTGGAGTGCAGTGGCATGATCTTGGCTCACTGCAACCTCTGCCTCCCGGGTTCAAGTTATTCTCCTGCCTCAGCCTCCCAAGTAACTGGGACTACAGGTGCCTGCCACCACACCCAGCTAATTTTTTGTATTTTTAGTAGGGACAGGGTTTTGCCATGTTGGGCAGGCTGGTCTCAAATTCTGACCTCAGGTGATCTGCCCGCCTCGGTCTCCCAAAGTGCTGGGATTACAGGTGTGAGCCACTGCACCCGGCCCTGTTTCTTTATAAATTACCCAGTCTTGGGTATGTCTTTATCAGCAGCATGAGAACAGACTAATACAAAGCATTAATACAAAGAACTTAATACAAAGCATTTAGTAAGTTCAGGCTCTTTTTTCCTAGTTTCTAGAATTGGTGCAGATTTGCCCCTAATCATTTAAAAATAATAAATGTAATATTCTCCATTTCTGGTGGGTGGAATTCCCATATCCACACCACTTTCTTTCCCCTTCCTCTCTCTGCTTGTGAGGGCCTCCGAGTTTATTCTTTCACTCATTCATTACATAAATACTTACTAAGTACCTGTGCTGTGTTGTGTTATAGCATTAAAGCACATGCTACAACATTTTCACCAGACAAGGTCTATGGGTTTTGGAAAAATGCTAGGCAGTTTCGCTGAATCCCAAGCAGGCTTGTTCAGGCTTATTTAGATAAAATGGGTCTGACCTGGAGAGTCAGTATTTATGGTGTGATGCACTTGAGTAGATCTTATTAGCATCTACTAATGAAATTTGAATATTAGCATGCTAATGTTTAAAATCAGAGACTGTTCTGTGTCATTGAGATAGGCAGAAGAATGATCCCCCCAAATCCATCTACATCTTAACCCATGAAACCTCTGCATATTTTCTGATACGGCAAAAAGGGAGGGAGGTCCTTGCAGATGTGATTAAGTATTCTGAGATAGGGAGATTATCCTAGATTATCTGGGTAGGCACTACAGGTAATCACGTGTACCTTATAAGAGGGATGAAGGAGGAGATTTTACTGCACACAGAGGAGAAGGTGATGTGAAGATGGAGCAGAGAGAGACCTGAAAATGCTGGCGTTGAAGACTGCAGGGATGCAGCCACAAGCCAAGGAGTGCCTGCTCTCACCAGAAGCTGAAAGAGGCAAGGAATGTCTTCTTCTTCTTCCATAGAACCTACAGAGGGAGTGCCCTGACAACACCTTTATTTGGGCCCAGTGATACTATCAAAGTTCAGACTTCTGGCCTTCAAAACTCCTAGAAAACAAATTTCTGTCATTTTAAACTATTATGTTTTTGGTGATTTGTTACAGCAGCCACAAGAAACTAATCCAGCCACTTTATGTCCAAAATGAGGTTAATAAGAGGGAACCTGTAAGTGCATGCCTTGTTCCAAGCTTACTAGAGATGCTGCATCCTTCCTGTTGTCTCTGTGGGTTTGCTTCCTAAGATTCCAATCAACCCTTGCACCCGGTGATCAACTTTCCAACTGTCTTTCAGAAAAGGATTAACTTCTGTTTTTTAACTAAATCGTTTCCAGCAAACCATATTCTTGTGAAAGCTTACTGTTCATTTCTGCAGGCATGAAGGGAGGTAGGGCTAGTAAGTCTCAGCCCCTTCTC